CTATCAAAATACAGTAACTGTACCAGAACTGTTTTTCTTCTCAAGTACTAACTAACTTAAAGCTTAAAACGGAACTCAATAATCTAGAAGATTCTATCCTGGAATGGAATGGGAACCTGGAATGGGAATCCTCCAACACTAAGACACTGGAAGAAATTTCTCAGAGCTTACGTCCCAGAATAATCAAAGATTTTCCTTGATTTAAAAAAGAACAATCTTCGAATTGTCAACAATTCTTAACAGGACACTGTCTCCTCAATGCACACATCAGTGGATTGAAGCTGAGAAACAACGGCGAATGCAGATTTTGTGGGGAAAATGGGGAAACACCACAACACCTCATCACTGAGTGTGCCGAAACGACAACCGTTCGTACCATAAACTTTGGTACGGCTGATATCAAAGATGGAGAGCTGGCCTCTGCAGATCCGTCTCAGATATTGGCTTTTGTCAAAGCTCTGAAACTCTATGATGAGTTATAACTCCTTAAAACTGAAGAAAGGAGAACACACAATAGATCAGTAAGGTCGCGGTAATTAACCCACCTCCTAAACATCCTACTCTCACAGTGTGATTTAAGAATCACAGTATCACTCATCCCTAGTTGTATTTGTCACGAGGACTTATTTTTTAGTAAACAGTGTTTCAAAGTTTAATAGAAATTGGTTTGAAAAACTTGTAAAAATATTAATATATAACTAATATATATCTACTTACCAATCTGTGCTTAAACATTGTATTGAAGGGGTTGATTCAACTGATATTTTCTTATCAGAAACGAAACCATTATATACTCCAGCCTTTATTTCCCACTATCAAAATTCTAAAATTAAAATACAACAAAAGCGTATTCACTCAAGGGATTAATGATAAAAAAGAGTATCTCAATTATATTAGTATTTAAATAGTAAATTAGTATTTACGGTAAACTAAAAAGACTTTAGTTAAATCAGACATAGACGTAGTTAGTGCAGAAATAATTAAAGAAAATACCAAATTTTCAGTCATATTTTTTATATTGTATTTTAATATTATATCAATTATTATTTTTATCACTGAAAAAAAAACTACTGCAAAATTTACTTATTACTTTTTTGTTGATGTTTAATTATGAACAATTTTGAATTTTAAAATGTTGATCATCTCACACACTGGTCAAAGGTGAAGTATTCTATATTTTATAACTCTAAAATTACATCTATTTACTGCGTACTGTTCTAAAATTGTCCATGTATATTCTTTTTGTAATTTTAAGGACTTAAATTTTTTTGAATTGTATTATTTGTATTGTGTATTTTTTGTTGTTTGTATTTTTTTGTGATTTTGTTGTTTGTGAGTGCTTTGTCGATGAAGCTGTTTTGGCTTTTTGTACAATAACGCGTTGTTTGTTGTTGTTTGTTATCTGTTTTAATAAATTAGTCGCAATTTAGCTTGCATTTTTATGTTTAGATCTGATTTGATTATATTAGAAAGATGTGGTTATTTTGATTATTTTTTCTGTAAGTTTCATTATATAATCAGCTCAACTGACGTTCTAGTACGCCACTGACTGGCTAAGTTATTCCAATTTGTTTAATATTGAACCAATTTTAATGATTATTCGAAATTGTCACATACATAATTAATATTCAATCTGGTTCGCCTTTTTGGTCTAGACGAAGGTTGTCCCAAATCCCTGTTAATTTTGAAAAATCTGAAATTTATTTATTATGATTAAGGTCTTTGTTAACGGTATTTTGTCTTATTATGATACAATATTTTTTTAGAAGAAGGTTTTACTAGAGTAGTCAAACATGTCTTCAGATAAGCTATGAGAATCAACATTATATCAAAAACATCAACATCCAACTTCTTCGACAAAAAGAAAAGTTAAAATACCAGAATATTTACAAGAAGACATCTATTTCATTAAATGTGGACGGAACTAACAAAATATAACAAAAAAAAACAAAAAAATAAATAACAAAAAAAATTATAACAAAGTTATTGAATAGGTGTTTCCATAGACACTATAATATAACTAACTTGGTTTTACAAGAGATCTCGTAACTTTTTGTAGGTAAAGAACTGCTTTGCGAGAGTAGGTAATTTTTACATTTTAAGTTTTTGATAATATAGTAATTTATATATTATATTTTTTTATTATGAAAAAAATATTTAATTTTTCGTGTTATCTGCCTAAAGTAGTAACAAATTCACAGAAAAATTGTGTGATTTATTAATTGAAAATGACAAGTGGTATCAGGGTTATTCGCTTGCACTTGGTGAAAGTAGAGCAAGTGCATTGTTGCATTTATCGCACCTAGATTATCGAATTTGTCAATTAAAAATAGCTTTTATGAATGAATAATATAAAAATGATTGTGTCTTATTGTCGTCTCAGTATTTTATTCATGTTTTATTAATATCCTTAATACAATATGACCGATAAAAAACGGCGTCAGCAATGGCTATGAAATGTGAATCGCTGTAATTTTACATGTAAAATTATATGGGGAATCTCATCGATCGTCATTTCCAAGCCAACTGGACGCCGTTTTTTTATCATACGGTACATGATTGCTTAAGCCAAAGATAGTGTTAACTATAATATTCTTTGCTTAAGCTAAATCATGTCTTATTTTTTTGTTTCAAATGCATTTGCTTGTTTAGAAATGGTTCATTGTTCGACAGTAAATACAATTAACACGTGAATTAAAATGACAGACTAAAAACTCTCACTGTCAGGAATCCTTTCCTTGGACAGACTATAAATTATAATAATGGTATAAAAATATATTACAATACTTAAACATTATTTACAATAGTCTTTAACAAAACAAAGATAATTTTTATCAAAACAATACTGGTCCTACTGGAGCTGGAATCGCAGGTGCTGCTACTAAAGGAGCTCCTAAAGCATAGGGCGATGCTACAGCATGATTTACAGTGTTAGCTGTGTAAGATGAAGCATAGGGGATGGAGTAGGCAGCCGGAAAAGCTGCAGGGACTGCAGGAATGACGCCTCCCAGACAGCATGTTGTGAAGAAGGTGACTAAAAAGACGATAACCTGAAAATGTAGATTAATTATTTTCAATTCTATTGAAAAGTAATTAAAAAAAAAATATTAATAATAAATAAACATCTTAATTCACAAACAAACAATAGGTAATGGGAGATGGGAGTTTTATTAACTCCTATCCTTCTCCTATGAAGGGTTTAAAATGATTACCAACTATTATTTCATTTTATTTGATGTGTATTAAGTAATAATTTTTACTTACGACAGTTCTAGAAACCATTTTTAATAATTTATTTCTTCTAGTTGATAGAATATAAGTACTATGTCATCTTCAAATATTGATCGACTATTTTATACTGAATCAACCCCCAGCAAAATATTTACAATGCAATGAAATATTAAATATGAATAACAGTGGGGCAATAACACTTTTGCAACGGAAAAAAATACAACTGATTATATCACTGTAATGTTCCCATTATTGTCATTCATTAAACAGAAATGTCGTAAAGTATTCGATGATGAATACTGATTAGATCAAGTTTGATAAAAGAAAAAGAATAACAGTGAATATTTCACTGTTTTATATAATAACTGTCGTTTAAATTTCGTTTTTTTCTTTAATTTAATTTTTATTTCTTCTGTTTCTTCTTTTTCTATTTTTCCTCTGTCATAACTAACGTTCAGAAATAATTAATTTAATTTTATAAATTATAAATCATCAATACTTCTGCAGAATATTCTGCAAAACAGTTCGTATAAATATATGTCCTAAAATGTTAGATTTCGGAGATACAGGGTGTAGAAATTTCATTTTTATTTCGATTTTTTCCAAATAATTTCTGAAGTAACGTGAATATTTGGATGAAAATTGGTGCCTGAGAGTTTTTTCATATGAGAAATTTGATTTTGATGCCAATATGACTCCTACTTGTAGAGGGCACCACCTACATATTTTTTAACTGGTTTGGGTTGTAATAACTTTTCGTCCGTACCCGTATAAAACTATTAAGTAAAAAAAAATTACATTTACGACGTTTTGTGCATAAAAAGGGTCTCTTGGTAAAAATCGCTACGAATAATGGTTCTCGAGATATGTATTTGGAATCGAAATTATGAATACCTGTCATCATTGACGTGTTGACTAAATAGTTATTAGACTAAAATCATAAATTTGAAATGTTTTTGTACCAAAAGTTCAACAGAAACTGTTTTATCATCATTTTTTGATGAAAAATTTATGATTAATTTAAAAAATATAAAAAGTTCCCAAATTTGCCAATAATGACATGTATTGACTATTTCCATCCTAAATATCTTGAGAACGGTTGCTCGTAGCAATTTTTAAAAAGAGGCAATTATTACGTAAAAAATCACGGAAATGTATATTTTTTCACCCAGTAGTTTTATACAGGTACGGACGAAAAGTTATTACTCTCCAAAACAGTTAAAACACATATAGGTGGCGCGATCTACAAGTAGGAGTCGTACTGACATCAAAATCAAATTCCTCGTGACAAAAACCTCCCAGACACCAATTTTCATTTAAATATTGACGGCACAAAAATTAAACTTCTACACCCTGTAGCTCCGAAACTAAACATTTTAGAACATGCATTTATACGAACTTTTTTACTTATTTCTATCTGCAGAATATGCTGCCAAAGTTTCCGGAATACAGTTGAGACCACCCTGTATATATTTTTTTAATGGGTTAAACCTTATTCTATGTTTGAGTGATACAATATGTTATATTAATAATTACGCTTACATAATCTTGATAATTTAATTCTAATACATAATGGTATTGTAAAGAACTCGTCTGCATATACATACAAGGAAGCATTACCAATTGTCTGACCCTTGTTAATGAATTTTGAAAATCCTGTCACGTACGCCATTTTTTCAAGAAACACGCACCACTTTCACTAAGTGTATCAATAATTGATTTTTGATTTTTAACAGGTATATAAACGAAATTTTGGCACTGTTTGTTATCAGTCGCTTAGTTTATCGTCAAACCCTTACAACAAATAATACAAAAAGATGTCTATCTTAAAGGTACAGTTTTTGTTTATTTTACAGTTAAATTACAATTAAAATCAATTTATCTTTTACAGATTGTAGCAGTTCTAGTTTTAAGTCTTATCTCCACCATATCCTGCAGCGTGTTAGCCCCAGCTGTAGCTCCAGTAGCTTTCAGATACACACAAGTAGCTCCACCTAGTGTCCTACCATTCTCCGCCCAAGTCAGCACTTTTTCGAGGAACCTCCATGTTTTCGACGCTCCTTACGCTGCTGGAGTTATCCCTGGACCTCCTGCTATCGTTCAGAGAGCTATTGTTCCACCACCTGCAACTCCAGTGTTTCCAGCTCCTTTTGCAGCACCCGTAGCTCCTTTACTACCTAGAATAGCTTCTGTAGGACCAGCTATAGCTCCTGTAGCGCCTTTTTTGCCTAGAGTAGCTCCTGTAGCACCTGCGTTAGCTCCTGTAGGTCCGGTGTTACCTTACAACGGATTTGGTGGATTTGTGGGTCCTGTTGGGAGGTCGATACACGCTGTAGCTCCTGGTTTCGCTTCTGCTCCATTGTTAGGATAAGACGTCGGTTTTTAAGTTATGTTTTTGTTTGTTGTAGAGAGTGTACCTATTTTTATTGCAAGTGCCAAAGTACCTTTTAATGTATACTTAGTTATTTTTAATTTCTATAGACTGAATTTGTAGTCTAGTATGAGTTTACTATGTATACAAGGTGTCTCAGATTTTAATCGGGAAATTTTAATAGACGATAGAACTTGCAAAAATAAAACAAAGTTCATATCAAGTTGTAAGATTTAAAGCTTCCTTTTCGAGATACAGGGTGTTAAAGTTACTTAAAAAAGAAAAAAATTTAAGATATTTGAAAAACTGTTTAATCGATTTTGATATAACTTGACCCATTTATAATACTTACTATGGGACTTAATTTGATGTAATTACATTTAAGTTTAATGGCCAGGGGCGGCGGTGGGGCATCACTGTTAAATTATTTTAAAGGAAAAAATAGGCACGTCACTGCTTTTTTAGAAGTTTAGTATTATTTTTAGATTTAGTAATTAAAAACATTATTTTTTTGTCTCCTGACTTTTTTGTCTATCTGACTTACTTCTTGCGAAAAAAAATTAAATTCATTTATTCACTCCACCCTGGAGTGTTTTTTCGCAAGAAATAAGCAAGTTAGACAAAAAAGTCAGGAGACAAAAAATAATATTTTTAATTACTAAATCCAAAAATAATATTAAACTTCTAAAAAAACAGTGGCGTGCCTATTTTTGTCTTAAATAATTTAACAATGATGCCCCACCGCCACCCCTGGCCATTAAACTTAAATCTAATTACATCAAATTAAGTCCCATAGTAAGTATTATAAACGGGTCAAGTTATATCAAAATCGATAAAACAGTTTTTCAAATATCTTAATTTTTTTTTTCTTTTTTAAGTAACTTTAACACCCTGTATCTCGAAAAGGAAGCTTTAAATCTTACAAGTTGATATGAACTTTTTGCTTTATTTTTGCAAGTTCTATCGTCTATTAAATTTTCCCGATTAAAATCTGAGACACCCTGTATAATATGCAGAAATAAATATATTTTTGATTTTTTTTAAGAACATTGTTTCTATTAGTTTATATATATATTTATAAAAAATATACTTTTAATAAAGTGTTATTTTTGAATATAATTGAAGAAATGCTATCCACATACTATACGTCATTTACAAATACTTTTTATCATGACAACTACGGTGTGATAAAAAAACAGCGTCCAGTTGGCTGGGAAATTACGATCGATGACATTTCTCATATAAATTTACATATAAAATGACAGCGATCTTCATTTCATAGCCATCGCTTCATTTCATAGCCATCGCGCCGTTTTTTTTTTTCGGTTATACGGTATGATTTTACAGCGAAAATGAACAAAAAAGACAGGTAAAAATTGAGAAAGAATAAATCTCAAACTATATATTAAACAGGTATATATGTTATATTTAATAAGAGTTGACAGGTTTTATAAAATCTATCAGAAAAATAATATATATATATATATATATATATATATATATATATATATATATATATATATATATATATATATATATATATATATATATATATATATATATATATATATATATATATATATATATATATATATATATATATATATATTATTTTTCTGATAGATTTTATAAAACCTGTCAACTCTTATATTATATATATTATATATATATATATGTATAATAAAATAATATATATAACATATATATATATATATATATATATATATATATATATATATATATATATATATATATATATATATATATATATATATATATATATAGGATGTGATAATTAAAAGAATTGAATTTTTCATTTTTATAAATAATTTTAAACAGCACATAAATTTATTTTGAACACCCTGTAGCATCTAACTCAAATATCTTTAACGAATTTTTTTATTCATTTCTATAAAACTCCTCTACCAAATTTGAGTACTCCAAAATTAAAAATAATAAAGTCACTGACAGTTTTTTAGCATAATGATATATAAAATTTTTTTAAATAAACTGAAATTTTAGATATCCTTCTAGTTTCAGGGATATAACATTATTATATAAAAAAAAGTTATAATAAAATACAACTTTATACAGAACCCAAAAATAAAAAATAATGTTACCTACCTACAAAAAAATATATCAGCTTCATTTTTTTGAAGCATCCTGTATTGTATACTCAAAAATAATTGTCAGTTTTATGTCTTAACATTCCTTAAATAATTTCTACTTAACATTTATTTTATTTTGTTTAGCACCAATGTTTTATTTTTTACTTAACAATATGTGTTTAAATCGTATTTTGGCCATTATTTTAAAATAATTAACTAATTTCTAATAGATTAAAATTACATATAATCTATATAATTAGAATATATTATTATTTATTATTATATATTTTTATACTATTAAAGTATTTAAATTTTTCTAATTTCCGGGAAAAAATAGTATAGGATATGCAACCAAACAAACAGAATATCTGCGAAACAGCATGCGCATCTAAGGGATGAAAACAGAGGTTTAAACATAATTTAACTGAAGCCCCTGTGGCCTAATGGATAAGGCATCGGCCTCCTAAGCCGGGGACTGTGGGTTCGAGTCCCACCAGGGGTAGTTATCGTTTTTTTAAAAATTATCTTTACTTTTTGCAATCTGTATAGTTTTCTATACTCGTGCTAATTTGAAAAAAATCATTTATTTCTCTTATTGATAACCGGCATAATTTTTTTATTTGACGTATTATTTATAAAATCTAAATTGATGTTACTTACATTTTGTCAAATAGATAGGCATAATTAAATTTAGAATATAAACTTTGTTAGTAAATGAGAGATTATGTAAAACATACAATCTCTCATTTTTTAAAAGGTTGAATTTTTTGGCAGAATATATCATAATAAAACTATCTTTTTAAAATTATAGAATATAGATCTATCTCATGACATAAAGTATTTGTATGTTTTCAAACAATTTTCAGTAAAATAATAAACTATAATGCATTATAGGATTGTCCCTCATTCATAGATTTATTTGAAATTTGTTTACTACTTGTTAATACTTTCATAAAAATATATGATTTCAAACCTTGTTTTATAATTTTTCCACCGAATAAAGTACCTATAGCACAGAATTTCTGTATATTCTCTGCTATAGGTACTCTCCAAAAAAGCAATCTTTACATTTATAGCAAATTTATTTAATTAAAAAAAATTAAACAATTTAAAAGGAGGCAAATTTAAATTTTCAAAAATAACCAATGGCAATTGACAGTTTTTTAAAATAGTGGTGTCTACTGCCACGCTCAAGTAATTTTTTCCCAATCAAACTTGTTCCGACCATAATCTGAAACTGAAAAACGGACAGCTGAAAATTGATATTTTTATGTAAAATCAAAATCAAAATCATTAATTTCAAATAAAATTTTTCAAAATTTAGCCAATAGATGCATTTTTATCGAGATATTTTTGTAAATGTCAAAATTAAAATTCTAACGTGGCAGTCAAAATCAGTCTCAAAAATCAGTCAATAAAAAAAAATGTGATATTGTAGAGCAGATGTGTACAGAAGACAGAATTTTTAAACTGAATTTTTGACTGAATGTTATTCATTAAAAATATATTAGAAATAAGAAAAATATAATTAAATGCTTGAAAGTCGGTTAAAAACATCCAAATATTTTGTTATTTTGGTTCAACCTACACAAATAAATCATTTAGTACAAAAGGACTAAATCCAAAAAACCTTTTAATACAAAAAAATCAGTCACTATTTTTTTCGCACATTCATTTACACTCTAAAAGTAAACAGGAAAAAAAACTTTGTAATTTACATACTTTCATAATAGATTGTTGCAGCAGATCACCCATATTTGTATATAATGTTGAATGACGATCTTTTTTATTGTTAAACCTCTGTGTTCGCAACCATTTTATATTTTGTCTTTTTCAGGCATTAATATTTTTTCTAGTTTCACGTAAGCGTAGATTTAGACACTACCATTAGAAAGTATTCTAACCTAAGAAATACAATGGTCGTCTTCTAAAAGTTTATTTTTCTTTATTATTTATCACCTTTAATTTACAATCAAGATAAATGCATTTCAAATTCCCCAAAAGTGCACGTATTTTTTATCTTTCCAAATGATTAGATCTGTTCAACTTATCATCAGACACAATATTAATAGCATTGCGATAGCTCATTGTATCACCAATATATTTCCAATATTTTTGACCAGGATGGCGAATACTTTGTAATATTTTACCCATTAATATATGGCTTAAATGTATCTAACTATGTTTGTATTATTTATTTCAGAACCAGTCAGGTAAAGCATCTTCTGGACAGGCTTAATACTGCCGAACAACAAGCCAGTGCCCTTCAGATTGAGATTAAAGATATTAAGTCTGAAATAAATACTTTGAGAGATGCAGCTTCCATGATGATTGATGCCGACGATCTATTAAATTGTAGTACGTTTTCAGCAAAGAGACGAAAAAGTGACTCAACAGACTCACCTATGTCTGATGCCGGTTTTAGTAAAAGACCCAAAGGAAATCTCCCTAAAGAAAATGACTATGTTGTAGTCTACACTGATGGGGCCTGTGAAAATAATGGCAAAACTAAAGCCAGAGCTGGCATAGGAGTGTGGTTTGGTGATGATCATTCTTTGTAAGGTAAAAAAAAGAATATTAAGATATATTTGAAATGTTTTGTTTACAGGAATATATCAAAACCTGTGCAGGGTAGGGCTACAAATAATACGGCTGAAATTCAAGCAGCCTGTGCGGCTTTAAAATTAATTAACGAATTAGGTAATGCATGGTTTTTAAAACAAGTAGGTATTTTAAATAAGAAAATGTTATTTGTTAGGACATAAAAAGGTGAAACTTTATACAGATTCAGAATTTACAATAAACTGTATCACGAAATGGATGAAGAACTGGAAACGCAATGGATGGAAACTATCCAGTGGAGGGATGGTGAAAAATAAAGAAGACCTAGTAATTTTGGATAATTTGTGTCAAAAATTTGAACATGTCGACTGGGTAAATATTAATTTTTGCTAATTCATTTTTAAGATACAAAAATTCTTGTTTTTTTTTTGATTTTAGAAACATTGTCGTGGTCATGCTGGAGTGAAAGGTAACGAAGAAGCTGACAAGCTGGCCAGGTGTGGGGCTCAAAGGTACAAAGCACCGTTATAAGTGACTTGAGTATTTTTATAGGAGATAGAAAAATATATTTATTATTTGTGCTCAAACTTTTTATTAGATGTAATGAAATTATGCCTTTTATGTGATGTGATTTAAAATGAAACAATGAATTTTACAAAACTATTTATTTGATTTTAATACTTGTGGTTTATATATATAATTTATATATTAAATATATTAAGCATTATTTTAGATGAATTTGATTATACTGAAAAGTTTTGTTAAAAAATCATGGCCATTCTGTGTAAAAATTAAATTATCAAATAATACACAAAAATACCTTACTTATACCTTTTTAGTAATATAATATTGCTTATATTGTTTTGTTTTTATTGTGATAAATCGGAGTAGATAGGTAATATCCTGCATGAGTAATAATTGATATAAGTATAGCAAACTTTTTAAGATTAATTTTATATACTTTATGATACAAAAACGACATCCAGTTAGCTTGGAAATGACGATTGATGGGATTCCCCATATAAAATGACAGCGATCTTCATTTCATAGCCATCGTTGATGCCGTTGTCTTTTTCGATCATATTTATGGTAGGTATTTATCTACAATGATATGTATAAAATAAAAAAAAAACTTAAAAAATCAACAGTATTTTAATAACAATTTTTGATATTGTGTAGTACCATCACATTAGTAACAACAGAGAAGTATGTAAGTATATTAGTTTCTTAAAAATATATTTAAAGAAAACAACACCGTATACAATAACATAATATATTTCCTAGTAATATAGATTTATGATTTGTGCCTATCTAATCTATAGGTGTATTATTTTATATAATATACAGGTGTATTATCCTAAATAATCTATAGATTTATTTTTATTTGTGTTAAATAATACTCAACAACAAACCATTCCACACGTATAAATACATTACAGACTCCTCAACTACCATGAATAAAGCAGATGGTTATTTTGAGGTATATACTGATGGGGCATGTGTAAACAATGGCAAAAGCAATGCAAGAGCTGGTATAGGGGTATGGTTTGGTGAAAATAGCTGTTTGTAAGGTAAAAAAAATGTTTGAGATATATTTGAAATGTATTTTTGCAGGAATATATCAGAGCCAGTTCAAGGTAGGGCTACAAATATTGCAGCTGAAATCCAAGCAGCTTGTGCAGCTTTAAGAGTACTTAATAAGTTAGGTAGGTATATAATGAGTGAATTAAAAAAAAATATTTTTATAAGAAAATGTTGTTTGTTAGGTCATAAAAAAGTGAGAATTTATACAGATTCCGAATTTACCATAAACTGTATCACAAAATGGATGAATAACTGGAAACGTAACGGATGGACAGTATCCAATGGAGGGATGGTAAAAAATAAAGGAGACCTTGTTGTCTTGGATAATTTATGTCAAAAATTTGAACATGTCGATTGGGTAAATATGGATTATAATTTTTTTTAAGATAATTAGTAATTTTTGATTTTTAACTATAGGTACATTGCCCTGCTCATTCTGGAGTTAGAGGTAATGAAGAAGCTGATAGGTTGGCCAAGATTGGTGTTCAAAGTTACGTAGTACTGTGACATGAATATTTTTAATTACTGTTTTGATCACTATTATGTAAATTCAAACTGTATTGGTTATATTAAATATACATTATTTATTTTATATGATATACTTAATTTAAAGTACATTTTTAATAAATATTTTGAACAGAATGTTTTTTTATCTGATACAGATTAAGCATGACAAGTATATCAAAAGGATTAAATTGATATATATTTACGTATTATTGATATGCAGTAATAATAAAAATAATGCATATACAATATAATATGTATTTTTAGAGCTACTAGAGACTACCAGATAAATAGTATATATACTAGAATAACAGAACTATTAAAACTATAATATTAAAGTAGAATAATTTGCTTAATCTAGTGGCATTATTCGATAGATATACAGATAATAATGTGTGGCAGTATTATATTAAAACGTATTTTACTAAATATTGTAATAGAAATATTTTTCTATGTTTATTTTTGTTAAATATTTTATCTATTATCTATGAAAAATACAAATACGACAACAAAAAATTAGTATAATATCTACCCCCACCATTTTATTTATTACAACATCCAATTTATTATTATAATTAATTATAATAATTTTTAACGTTTTGAAAAAGTAATAAAAAAATAAAATATGCTAAAAGTTTTTATTATTATTCAGTTCATATTTAATGAATATAAATTTGTACAAAGCACAAAATGATATAATATATTTTTAAAAATTGAGCGCAAAGTGCGCCTTAATTTCCGCAACCAGATATACACAAAGCTTATTAATAAAAAAATACGTCTGGAAAAAAAATCGTATGCTAGATTGAGTAAAGATTGTGATGTAGAGCATAAATGTATATATTTTGTTTAATTTTTTTAAACAAATAATGTTAAATTATAATATGCTACTAAAATAAGTAAATTTATAATTAAGCATGATAATTGAAGAATTATTTTAGGCAAAAATTAATAAAAAAAATTCTCGTGAGGAGATTAAATATTTCGATTAACTTTTGTTTTTTTTTTTTTCGTTAAAACTTTGATGTAAAAATGGAATTAATGCAAAGATATATTAAAATAACAAAAACTCTATAGAACTTTTCTTGACAATTTTACGAATGTTTTTTTTAAATAAACTCATAATAAATTAGTGTATTTATTCAAACAAGGAAAAATAAATACAGTTGTAGCAAATAGTGTTATATTCAAATAATTATTAACAAATAACGATTTGTTTGTAATTTAAAAATATATCAGTCTTTTTTAATTTCTGCATATTACCTGAGCCTAATTCTGGATCATTAAAAGAAAATAACATGTCTATTCATGCAGCTTTCATACTTATATAAAAGTTCTCAACGTGTTAGATCGTTCTTAAAACAATACAAATACTCAAAATTATTTAAACTATCAAGATTCCATATAAAATAATAAAGTCCATTGCATCCCTGCATTCTAAAAATTATTTGTTTGTCAAAAGTTGTTTTAATTTAAAAGTGTGCCATGAGGAATTCATTTTGACAATTTGTGCAACTTTTACGTCTAAAATTTTCAGTCAATTGCCTGTCAAATATTTAGTTCGTTCTAAATAAGTGAAATTAAAATAAGGAAATGTTTAAACCTGCCATTTTGGATAATTACGAAGAGGACAACTCGTAAGTACAAATTTATTTATATTTTTTATATATCGGTGCGTAACAGATATTACTAGAACATTTTAAACATCCTAAACATACTAAGATATGTTTGTAATTTTCATGACATAATAGGTCGGGTTGTGTATATATAAATTAAAAGTATAATCCCCCATGAAAGGTTCTTATCATAAACGTTTGTTTCATGTAAATGATAAAGTAACTGAAATAGCAAGTTATTTGATAATTTGCCCTAAGTCAGGTATTGTTAGTAAAGAAGTTATTCAGAATTATGAAGAGTGTTAAGACGCGAGTATGTTTTTAACTAAACTGAAGCATACAGCTTTACCTGCTGACTTAACTCGTCAAAATACTAGCGAGACAGAGACTTGGTAAATATATTTAAAATTTTATAATAATATACTTTTAAAGTTTGTTGTTGTGCTAAAGATATTTATAGATACAATGTAACTGTTTGATTTGTTCTCTCTCTCGTGCTTACTAACTTCATTGTTAGTATAATATTTATTAAATGAGCTAGATGTTTTATTTTCTATAGTCTGTAAAGTATATTTTCTGTAATTTTCAGTATTCATTTATATACAGGGATGAACAAAACTATTCGGAAATAGTTATATAGGGGTATTTTATTTGAGGTTTCTCCGCAATTTTTTTTTGAAAGTGTGAGGATAGTAGTACCTAACGTATATTTATCAAAATATTTTTAAACATTCACAGGGTGATTTAAATATATTTTCACTGTCGAAAATGTAATTGTTATACTGTATGTCCCCGGATTGTCTTTGCAAGAGGAAAAACTTTTTTATTATTAATATTTTCAGAAAAATGCATTCTTCATAAAAAAATTTTGCTTGTGTTATAAAATGGTTAATCCCGTTTATACTTTTCCAAATTTCCCTACCGTTTAGAGAAAATTAAAAAAATCATGAAAATATTATGGTTGATTTTTTTCTAATTCTTAAAATTAAAACGCGTTTCTGTGGTAATATAATTTCGATTTCATTTTTTGCGATAGATGGTTATTATTAACTGAAGTGTTAACCAAGATGTAACTTTTCTTTAATTTAAGCGTCTATTTACCACATGATAAAAAAACGGCGTCCAGTTTGCTCTTAGACTATTTGTCAAGACCAAAAACAAACAGCCATATTTACATTTTTTTCTAATTTTCTATAAAACGGTATGGAAATTTGGAAAAAGTGTTTTCTCTTGTACAGACAATGCGGGGACATACTGTATAATGAATAAGTATGTTCACATAAGAGACATTGTTTTAGACAGAGATGGTTTTACGATACTTTCTTTTTATTTTGGCTATACGTGATATGCCATTAAATTTGTAATGGCATAAGCTTTTAAAAATTGAAATAAAAAATCCAGGTCTGTATTTAATAAAATATAGTTGATGACGGTGGCTAAGAAACAAAACGTCAGATTCAAAAAATCTAATAACATCAGCTCTTAGAGCAGGAAAAGTAGCAATAGGAACTTGAAATCAGTGTTCTCATATCTTTTGAAATTCGACTGTGAAATTGAAAAATTGAATTAGAAAAAAATAAAAGCCAAATCTGAAAAAAAAATGAGTTTATTTTTTATTTTCCAAATGTATAATCAAATAGTTTTTTTATATTTCAAAACATGCCCTTGTAGTGCTAACCAAGATGTAACTTTTCTTTAATTTATGCGTCTATTTACTACATGATAAAAAAACGGCGTCCAGTTTGCTTGAAAATGACGATTGATGACATTCCACATATAATTTTACATGTCAAATGACAGCGATCTTCATTTCATAGTCATAGCTGACGGTGTTTTTCGATCATATTGTATTTCATCTGATTCGCTAGATATCTGTAGTGTGTAGCAGTGTGTAGTGAATTTTTATATGGAATATACTACTTCAGGCTTGTATTTTGTAGTTGCAAATTCATTTAATTTCCGAAAATTGACTAAAATTAGGAAAATAAATAGTTGATTATTATTATCATAAAGTTCATCGCTATCATTAGAAGTTCCGCGTGAAGGTTAAACGCGCTAAAATCACTAAATATTTTTATTTTTATTGCATATAAAGGTAACCAGACACTACAGTTTTTTTCTTACAGTTTGGACTGCCCAGTCCAGGCATTGAGATATTACTGAACGTGTACGGTAAAAATACCGACCGCCCGCTCACCAAGGGATAGAAGGCATTGAAAAAGCAAACGATCTAGCTAGAAAAGGAGCGAACACTCCACTAACTGGACCAGGGCCCATATTCTGTAACTTTGAAAACGCACAAAAAAAAAATTGATTTTGTGCGTTATCTTGCTCTTTAGTGAAAATTACTACTTCTTCTATAAATTCCTCAATAAGTAATTGATAATTTACGACTTGGCAGCTATAAATATTGTTCAAAACATCGAAAATGCTGAGAAGCGTCTTCAACACATCCCTCGTATAATAAGAATAATGACATATCCATAGAAAAATAGCTTGACATAACCCTGACATAACTCAACAATAGCTTATGAAATTCACGTAACATTGACATTTTTCATTGTTACATCCGTCCGTTATCAATTTTTGACTATTAGCTACATTAGAAATTGTGATGTTGCCAGTATGTGCTCAACGCGTATCCAGAACACGATTCACATGGCAACGAGAATACCAAAATCGACTGCCTCGCGTTTCGCTGATCGAATACTTGCGCTCACCGCTTTGAAAGCGTAACGTTTTTATGTCAAAGTTACAGAATACGGGCCCAGAACCATTCCAGTTTTAAAAACCAAAAAGAAACCAGCTTAAAGTTTGATTCTCACTATACCTTCCGTCTCAGCTACCTTCCGTCTCAGCTACCTTCCGTTTCCCTTCCGTTTACAATAAATATAATATTATATTATGTAAATGAATAGAACAATGCACACTATCCGTTCCGTTTCCCTTCCGTTCCATATCCTTTCCTTCCATACATACGGACTGAAGCGTATCGGAAACAGCGTTGTCAAGTTCTTACATTTGTACCAGCTCTGTTAAAATTTTGCTGATATTTATTTATTCTTTCACCTCTTAATTAAATCTGTTACATTTTTCAAAAGATACACATTTTTAAAATAAAACTTTCGTAATGATATAAATTATACAATAAAAAGTATGGAAGTGATACGGAACGGAAGCTTACGGATAGCGTCAATACAGTAAAAAATACGGAACGGAAATGGAATGGATATGGAATGGAAATGGAAGGTATAGCGAGAATCAACCTTAAAGCAGAACTGAAGAACCTGGAGGACTCCATCCCGACGTAACCTGGAATGGAAATCACTACACTGATCTAAGACACTCGAAGGAATTTCTCGTAACTTACGACCGAGAAAAATCGAAGATTTTCCTTGATTTAGGTTTCAAGAACAGAACACTGTCTCCTCAATGTACCACTCAGTAGATTGAAGCTAAGAAACAACGGCGAATGCAGATTCTGTGGGGAAAATGGAGTGCGCCGAGACGACAACCATTTTTTGTGCCATAAATTTTGGTACCACTGATATCGGAGATGAAGAACCTATGGAGATCCGTCTCAGACACTGACTTTTGTCAAAGTCCCGAGACCGTATGATGAGTGAAGAACGGGAGAAAATAGATTTAACTTCCTCCCTCCTAGACGAAGGTCACTCACAAAAAGACGTCTGGTCACAAAATCATGGCCTCGACCGCGCAGTTTTTCCCTGAGAAAAAACTGTACGTGTACGACTACCTTTACGTACATCTACGTATGTTAAGAATGACTTTATCAATCTACTTTGATAAGGTGAAAGATAAGCGACGTTCCAGGTCGAATAACAACATTTTCGATTACTTTTTTAGTCATTAAAAGTTACAACACCTACCTAGTAACTTTGTAGTAGCGCGAATCGAGGGTGCAAAGTGCATCTCGGACAATTTTGAATGATTAATTTCAGTATTTTCATATTTATATCGACGTTTCAACCGTTTTGGTGTTGTTTAAGCTGAGACACAAAATGGGATCGTATTTGTATCACGAGATTGGTTTGAATTACGAAAACGAAAAACCTAGTGAAAACAACAGGAAACTTAGGTACATAATTATATATTTTCTTTAGTTTTTCAGTTTTAAGCGTCATTCAGGACCTCATAATTAGTGGAATTAATTAGTGGTTTCATTTAACGTAGAAATGTATTCCTCTAATTTCAACGTAAGCTCTCAAAACGTCAAAATTAGTGGTAGGAATTTTCAATTAGTAGAAAAAGTTGACAAACTTTTAAGTTTTTCACTAATTATACTTGAAAATTTGCGAAGAATGTCATTTTCGTCTTTGATTATATCATATGTCAAGTGAAATTGTGGATAAAGGTCAAAAGTTTATTGTGTTATAAGCTAAAAAATCATTTACTATATTTATAGTAAATATAGTAATAGCAAATATTAGACCAGTGTTTACAAGATCAAATTCGATTATCAAAATATAAGTCATTTATAGCGTAGAAAGCCTTGTCTAGTAAATAAGATTTCAATGCTTTGCGAAATGAAGAAAACGATGTTATGGATTTGATTTCAAATGGCAGGTGATTGTGCATTTTTTCGAGTCGTATAATATTGAACTTTTAACTAACTCTGAGCGTGGGGTAGGTAGATAAAGATCTTGCTCCGCGTTCCTGAGTGGATAAGTGTGAGATGGCCTTTCTTGAGAAGCTGACGATACATGCTTACGTATTAGGCAAACGGATTCAAATATAAAGTTAATATTTTTAATTTTTTAAAAAAGTCCTGGCAATGAGTTCTGCTGTTTAGTCCCAGTGAATATCGAACAGCTCTCTTCTGGAGCTTGAAAATACGGTCAAATTGAGTCGCACAACACGTATAAGATAATTATTAACCATTTGGCTTTCTCTATGGACACAATAATTGACTACCACAATCTGTTGCGAGGATATTTTATTAATTTGAAATGTAGTTTTTTAGATATTGTGATTTCGTAGACATCGTGAAACTTTAGGATATACAAAACCTATTTTTTAAGCGTTTCAGTGTTGACATTTTAGGAACAGCTTTAAGAACTATTTTTTTTATTTGTAATCAGTCTCAAGTGTTTTTTTTATCCACTCATATAAACCGTTTAAGGTGAAAAATTAAATTTTGTCTACTAGTGCGATAAAATATCCTTATTCCACTAATGGAATACTGAAATATTACTAATGTTCTGTAAACTTCACAGGTAGTAAATGGATAGTTGCTTCTTGAGCTTCCGCAAAAGTTGCTTGCCGGAATACCATCATCATCTCCTTGCATTTTTTCGTGGTGTTTTAAAAAAACTTTCCAAATTCCTATGACACAAGCTCCGAATTCTACCTTTGTCAAGCGTTTCTTCGTATCAAATACTAAACAACATAGTTACCATAACAAAAAACGCCATCTTTAATTCGATTTTCCATGTCTTTTTCAAAAACGAATATATCTCCAACAAGAAAAAATCTATTAAGATGAATCAGAAAAAAAAACTATCGATAAAAGATGCATCTTGATGATAAAGCGGTTTTTAGATTCCTTATTTTGTTAAATTATTCTACAGGGTGTTTCAGACTTTTGCCAAAATACAACTAAAACTAAATATATTGAACTTTAAAGCACATGTTATTTTTAAGGTACTCGTATTTCTCTAGAATGTCTAAAGTGTCAATGCACTATCTTGTTTCTTGTTTATTTAACTGAAACAAGAAAGATTGTAAATTATTACCTTTAAAAATAGAATTTTGATATGCCTATACGGTTTCTACGAGTATAAATGCTTTCTAAAAATAAATTCAAAATATTTCTCATTAATTGTTTACCAGTTTTTGCGTAAATGAATTTGTATATTACATTTTGTATCAAATATAAACACCTGTCATTGTACACGTTTATTTCATTTTATCTTTGAATTAAGATATGTATACATATAAAATCTGGTATGAGTGATGATAAAAGAAGATAAGAAATATATAAATCATAGATAAAAATAGCGAGTGAAATACATTCACTAAATAATATTTAATAAGATAACGATTTAGCAATAAATAGAATTAAACGGCATGTGGTTTATCTAGATTTATACAGGGTGAGTCTTAAATAAGTGCAAATTTTTAGATGTATTATTTTTTAAATCCCAGAAACACGTCTATGAGGTTTTTTCGGGGGAAAAAAATTGAAAATTTGGAATTTTTTGGAAAATGTTTTGCATTTTTTAAAATTTTTATCACTTTGTAGATCAAAAATTAAGTACTTTAGACCGTTGATGTTTTTTAGTTTTTTTTAATTATTTTTTTTTGTTGTAGTGATACAAAATATGATCAAATCAAAACGATCTCCAGGGTGTACGCCGATGCATTGGCCAACAAACCTAAGTCATTCTACGAGTATGACAATTTCATACCGGCCTACGATAACATAGACGATTATAGCCTGATCAAGAAAATCGGCAGTGGAAAATACAGTATAGGTAAGTGTATACAGAGCGTCCCAACAAAAGTACACTATTATAGTACGAAGCAAAACCAGAGTTTTGTACCAAATGCATGGAGTCATAAATAAATTGTATACCGGGTGTTGCATCGTCGAGCGGGACATAGGAAATCCCATGTAAAGTTTAATGGGGTCAATTATTGTCTTCCCTAATTATTTTAGAGAATAATTCTATTTGGGTATATTGAAGAGCACTATAACCCACATTCAAAAAAATAACTTTAAGATATTTTTGATTAGCCCGTTTACGAGTTATTGCCGATTTCTTTTTAAATATTTCTCCTTTCTTATGGCCCTGTATTTACTTATGAGCACCAGTCAAGGTAAAAGATAACTGTCAAATAAAGTTATCATTTTAGAAATTTATCTATTTGGTGCTTTATTATTATTATCAAAAACTCATACCTACATCGAAAATATTAGCCATGAATTACACTACCGAAGAAAAAGTATTGATGATTAAATGGTATTATCAAGGAAAGAGTTATCACAAGGTGTCGGACATGTTTGCTGCTCTGTATCCGAATAGACCTATACCTGGAAAATCTACAATCGCAATGAATATCCAGAGATTTGAGACCAAAGGTACCCTAATAAATAACTGCAGATGTGAAGCAAGGCAAGAACAAAGAGAAGATGCAAGAAATGATACCGACTTGGAAGTTTTATTGTGCGTGGAAGAGAACGATGGAAAGATCAGCACAAGGAAACTTGATGATGAAATAGGAATAGATCACACTACAGCGTTTCGAATTTTGAAACGACATAAATACTATTCCTTCAAATATGAAAAGCACCAAGAGCTACGAGATGAGAATGAAATACGGTGGCAGGCGTTTTGTTTTGATATGATTGAAAGAGCAAACACGGATAGGGAATTTTTAAACACTGACCAATGCACGTTTACCTTAAATAATGAACCCAATGTTCAAAATTATCGATATTGGAACAAAGAAAACCAACACAGGTTTGTCGAAACAGGGACGCAATATCCACGGAAAGTAAATGTTTAGGCAGGGATATTCGGACACAATATTATCGGGCCATTATTTCTTACGCGAAATTTAAATGCAGAATATTATTTGGAACTACTCGAAAATCATATTTTACCTGCTTTACATGATGCCGCTAGGGAAAATCAGGAAGTTTGGTACCAAATGGATGGCTGCCCGGCACATAGTACCCTGGCTGTTCGGGAATATTTAGACAATAGTTTTAACGGAAACGTTATTGGCCTAAATCATACAGTAAATTGGCCAGCAAGGTCTCCTGATATTTCGCCATATGATTTCTTTTTCTGGAGCCATTTAAAAAACAGGATATACAAGGATAAAAAATACCCAAATCTAGACGAGTTAAAAAATGCTATTTCTGCCGAATACAATAGAATTTCAGTTTACCAACTAGTGAATGTAAGAAGAGAATTTTATGATCGCCTGAGTTATTGTCTAGCAGTCGATGGAGGAATATTTGAACATCTTCTTAAATCCTAAAGTTCTAACAATTTAATAATACCTAAATTAATAAGTTATTGAATATTGTAATAATACTATAATTAACCTTGTAATTGATTATCTTATTTTACTTTAATTCATATTAATTTGTATTTATAAATACATCTTTAAGATTTCCGATATAGGAATGAGTTTTCAGTAATAATAAAGCACTAAATAGGTAAATTTCTGAAATTACAACTTCATTTGACAATTATCTTTTACCTAGACTGATGCTCATAAGTAAATACAGGGCCATAAGAAAGGAGAAATATTTAAAAAGAAATCGGTGATAACTCGATAACTCGTAAACGAGCTAATCAAAAATATCTAAAGTTATTCTTTTGAATGTGGGTTTTAGTGATCTTCAATAAACCTAAGTAGAATTATTCTCTAAAATAATTAGGGAAGCCAATAATTGACCCCATTAAAATTTACATGGGATTTCCTATGTCCCGTCCGACGATGAAACACCCGGTATGTTTATAGAAATCATATATAATAATTAATAATAATTAATACTTATTTGGTATTTTGTTGCAGTTTTTGAAGGAATTCACGAATCCAAACGAGAAAGGGTTGTGATCAAAATGTTGAAACCTGTTAGAAGAAAGAAAATTAAAAGGGAGATAAAGATATTGGAATGTTTAAAAGGTCTGTACTTTTACAATGTATATTCTATATGATGTGTCGCAATATACCAATATAGTGATTTGAATTTGTTGTTTCTCTAGGAGGAACAAACATAATCAAACTACTTTCGGTAGTCGAAATACCGATGAACCTTACCGCTCTAGTATTCGAACAATTAGTCAATAGCGAGGATTTCAAGAATATTTATTTAAAATTATCGGAAGAGGACACTAGGTATTATCTGTATGAAGTTTTAAAGGCTCTGGATTTCTGTCACTCCAATGGCATCATGCACAGGTAACTTTTTTGGTTAAAAACTACTGGTGTGAAACGTCCTAGTTAATTGTTGAACGGTTGTACTAAATAACTATCCATCATAGATAAAGGAAATAAATTTATCAAAGCAAAACCTCTGAAGGCGGGTAAGGGGATAAATAACTCTAAAGACAAATAAATTAAACATCTTAAAGATTGTGAGTTATTTGTCCCCTTACCCGCCTTCAAAGGTTTTGCTTTGATAATATGTACTCACACTGGGTTAGAGAACGTTTAGAAATAAATTTAGATTGGAAAACCCGTCAATATATATATTTATTTTATCGTTGTACGCGATCTGGTGCTGCTTTAGCGGTTGCTAAGAACAACTGCCAAACAATAACAGAAATAATGTTCTCTTGTCAAAGTCAGAATCTTCAAAAATTATCAAATCTTTCAAAATATAAACCGCGTTCATTGAAAAAATACCAAAAAGTGTTTAAAGCGTCCATTCTCAAAGTAATTACTGCTATCTTGTGAGTTTAATTTAAATTTTACTTACTCAAACCCGTGATAATTGTGAAAAAATGGCATTAAAGACTAAAAAAATGTGTTGTGAACTGTGAACTGCAAAAACCATCGTGGATCGTAGCATAACGTCGGTTTCCAATGTTTAATAGGTATTTCACAAAGATGTCCTTATATAAAATAAAGTTTCTTGTATGCAACACACTGTATTTTGTTTATAAAAATAAAAGAAAATAATAATAAATTTGAATAAAAAATATTTGGCGACATAATTCCGGAAAAAGCCGAACCGATACGAAATTATCAAAAACTTTGGGTTGCGATGACCTTTGAATAAGAAGACTAAGGAAGGAGCATATCAAAAATCTTAGGTCCACCGCGATGGGACTCAAATATAGCCGACTTAAATTCCGGTTTATTAGTGCCATTCTAATTTTATTTAAAAAGTGTAAAACTATGATGTAGGGTAGACGTGGGGTAGACTCAATAATTTGTTGTTTTATTTTACGTTGTGAATAAATATTGGTAGTTATTAAAATTGTTATAAAAATATATAATTCTAATAAAAATAGATAAGTTATAATAATTATTTATTAACACAAACACACAAACATCCGATACGCTACTAAAGCAGGTAAGTCAAATTGACATATCTAAATTCTTTGACATCTAATCTTTGACAAGTAGCAAATAAAAGCAAAAATGCAAGAAAAAATATATAATTAGTTAATTTAAGTGAATTTCATAAATGACCGGTTTACTACACGTATGTATATTATATAGTCACTTATTAGCGAAAAGTTGTTCCATTATTTCACTCGATTTATGCCGAGATCTACCGCACGCTACACAACCAACTATTTTAGAGTCTTTTTCGATAAATTGCGACAGTGTCACTGTTAATTTAAATTCTGCCACAATTTCCATCTAGATTTACTACCATTATACAACTATCAGTAGTAGAATAAATAATAAATAACATAAAATAAGCTCAGTAAAGACCATAGATAAAAGACTTATAATATTAAATAGATAGGCAACTTATAATACATTTCAATTTTATTATACAAGGGCGCCTCTGGTAGTCGGAGGAAGAAATAATAAGGGAAGAAAGGGGTGCGGGGAAGGGGGGTTGTTTTAATTAATTTAAAATAAATTTAGACATACATGTAAGAACACTTTGTGTGCTTTTAATTAGGTCGAACATATTATAAACGATAAATCAACTTAATTAAAAGCATACAAAGTGTTCTTATATGTCCGATATTAATTAAAAAAATATTAAAAAGACGTAATAGTATATATTAAGTTGTTACAGTTATAATTTAATCTTTGGCGGTTTTCATCAAATAGCAGGCAGTTTTACATAATTTTCCTCCCTTTGAAGTGAATTGGAAACTGCTACATAATTTTGGTGTAGGCAAGATTCCCAGTTTGTTTCCGTTTGAGACCTGAAATAATAAAAACAAATTAAATTAGATTTAATCATCTGCTGATAATGGTAATTGATGGTAATATAACGCAACGCGCGTCTTTAATCCCTTACATGCACCGTAAAAAAAAAATAACTGCTCAGCAAGTAGCATTTATTAGCAGTGCTAATTTAAAAAATCTATAACTGTAAGTAGATATATTTAATTTACTTACCATTGTATCCTTTGGAAACCCGGTGTACAACAATTAAACTCCATGATAAATATATAACAAAGAGTCTATACAAAACACAAATTGTCCTACCATTTTTAAAAAAACATTGTCTAAAACAGAATACTGCCAAAAAATCGGAAGGAATTTAGTTTTACAATAATTCGACAAATCAAAACGAAATCAAACCGTAAAATCACAACAAAAGCGTCTCTGAGTGTATCGTGTCAGTTAAAAATCAAATTTTATTGTCAGATTTTGACATTTGCATTGTTGATTGACAGTTTTAATATTTTGCGCCTCTGCATCTTGGAGGAAAAACTATTTTTAATGAACTGTCATTTCCATTTAAGTTTCCCAGCCATGGTAAAGACTGACAAATCCACAAAATTTCAAATGTGTCAAATGAATCGTCAAACAGAACTGTCAAGGATCCCCACCCTAGAGTGCTTTTATGACGCTTTTTCCGCCCACCATGCATGAATACATGGATAGCATTATGCTCCTTCCTTAGTCTTCTTATTCAAAGGTTGCGACCGTTACAAGGATAGCGCCAAATAGTGTTTACATTGTCCTTATGGGCACTTTCCAATTTAAACCTGTTTCATTTATCCACAACTCTTTTTGTATATAGGGACGTTAAACCTCACAACCTGATCGTAGATCTGGAAAACCGCAAAATAAGACTGATCGACTGGGGTCTGGCCGAATTCTACCATCCGGGAGTGGAGTACAACGTCAGGGTAGCCTCCAGATACTTCAAAGGTCCAGAATTGCTGGTGGACTTTTGTTTCTACGACTATTCCCTGGATATCTGGAGTTTCGGATGCATGTTCGCGTCCATGCTGTTCAGGAAAGAGCCGTTTTTCCACGGTTGCGATAATCACGATCAGCTGTTGAGAATAGTTAAAGTTTTGGGTAAGTTTTTTCATTGTATTATCGATTGATTATCTTTTTTGTTTCTTTGCTGTTTCGCCCATTTTTGAGTACAGGGTGTCCCACTAAAAATAGCTCCCGGCTGTATCTCGAAAAGTATTAGCCGTGGGGCTTACACAAAAAAATATTTATAACTAAAGGGGCTATGAGAAATTGCTGGAAATTATTTTCAAGTTTGTAAAACGGCCGCTAGGGGGCGCAACTGCTACGGAAAATAAGAAAATAGAATTTTTACAGAATTTTGCTTAGATAATGGGTACTATAAATAATAGCTTCATAATCTTTTGTAAATTTTGATTTTTTTTTGTTAGAACCATTTTCCCCTATCTGCTAAAATAAAGTGGTGGGGGAAGGTTAGATCTATCTTTATTTAAATGTTAATAATTCCGGACTGGATGATCAGAATCCAACAAACGAGGGCTCGTTTAAAAGAGCGTTTCTTACTCTATATTATACCATAAAAAGAATAATAATAAGGTTTTGAACGTAGACGCTAGGGGGCGCTTTCTTACAATTTAACAAACATAGCGCGATTTTTCAAAAAAATTAAATACGATAGTATATCTAATTTTAGCTGATAGTAAAGAGTAGTAAAAGCTTAAAAAGTTAGATAAAACCGCATCTTGATATCTTCTTTCAAACCGAAGATATTAGCAAAATTATAATAAATACCAAAAAATAAGCCCTTAATTACTTTATTTTTACAACACGGTATCAGTAGACCTCTTGATTATGCCCATTCTAACAAAAAAAATAAGATAGAAGCAGTTAGTTTATTTTAAAATCGACGAAATACCAGAATACCATAATACCAGATGTATTAATATCTAATAATTAAGATATTAATAACAGTGAACAAGAAACGATGATTCAGTGAAGTCATGGTAGGCTTTGGAAAACAGTTGCTTTTGACGTAATAGTATAAACGTCAAATTTTTATTAGATCAACATTTTGATAGTCTTATCAGCGTTTTTTATCTTTTAATTGCTTTTTCAAAATGCCTTTATTATTTCAAGTAGTTGAGGTTGTTGGCACCTACTAACAAAAAACTAAAAACATAAAAACAAAAAAATTAAAAAACCGATCAAATTGTTTTTTCTAATTTCAATACAGATTAGTCGCACTTGGTAAAAATTTCGATTTTTTAAAACTCGTAAATTTGCGGTAAAAAAGATTCTTGGCCAAATTTTCACTCTCTTATAAAACACCCTGTATACGAGAATTCGCTAAATATATTTTCGAGAACGACATAGCATCTTAATCACAATAGATGCATCTAAAACCTGGTCCAAACCGCATCCCAAAATCTTTTTTAGTTCAAGAGATATTCAACTTTAAATTTACCCTAAAATTTTGCTTGTCCCGATAATTATGTCCGGCAGTTTATTTGACGAAATTGTCCGCAAGTACTAGTTAAATGGGTCCCCCGGGTTCCGAGCGTCGACTCATCGGCCCGGAATGAAGGGGTTTGACCTTTATCGAGATCGATTCGGTTACCCAGTAGTCATGTGTCAAAACTGCGGATCCCGCACGATAAATCCCGCAACTTCGATCCCGCGGAATCTCAGAGGGATCCCCCATTTGCGGGATTGCATTCCCTACGCTAAAAGTACTTATTAAAATTTTAAAAAAAATCATTAATTATTGTGATTAAAAAAAATAATTCGCCACAACGATATAGATATTAATCATACCAAATAATAAAGAAAGTTTGAGATATTCTACGTTTTAGGTACTTCGGAACTCAGTAGTTACTTGAAAAAGTACCGACTCAACCTAGACCCGGAATTCCAACAAATGCTCGGGTATCACAGCCGCAAATCCTGGCAAAGATTCGTCAACAGCGAGAACGAGTACCTAGTTGACAGCGACGCCTTCGATCTCCTAGAGAACTGCCTGAAAATCGACCACATGGATCGTATTTCGGCCAGGGAAGCCATGAGGCACAAGTACTTCGCCAAAGTACGAAGAAGAAGCTCGTTCGAAGTACCCAGCAACGTGGGTACTGTGCCTGTAGATGGCGGTACTGAGAAGTAAGATGAGATTTTGAAACTTTCGTTTTTTTAGGACGATCTTGAATTTTTACTCTGTGTTAATCTAAGTTTAACGAATTAAATTGATTTGATTTTGAAATTGTTGTTTTATTTCTTTTATTTTTTACTCTTTAATAGTTTAGCATTATGATCTACAAATGCGATTGAACGAAAAGAATAAGAATGTGAAAAATGCGAAGTCTCTCAACGCATTTCTTCACCACCTTCTAAACAGTTATGAGATCTCATAAAAAACAACTTTTTTTTATTTAGTATCGATATACAGTATGCCTCCAGATTGTCTTTACATGAGGAAAAATTTATTACGAGTATTATTGACATTTTGAGAAAAATGCATTCTTCATAAAAATTTTTGCTTGTTCTAAAATAGTTAATCTCGTTTATATATTTTTCCAAATTTCCATACAATGAAATGGTATAGAAATTTGGAAAAGTATAAATGGGATTACCCATTCTAGATCAAGCCAAAATTTTTATGAAGAATGCATTTTTCTCAAAATATCAATAATAAAAAAGTGTTTCCTCTTGTAAAGACAATCCGGGGACATACTGTATAACAAGTATCAAGTAAGCATCAATATTAGACATCTTTATTTCTGTGATAATTATAAAGGCTTGGCAATTGCACTAGGGATTGTTTAATTTTTTTTTTGTATGAATAGCATAAAAAGAAGGAAATCTAGTAAATATGATTTTTAATCCAGAATTTTTTCTTTACCATCGCTGACCAAAAAATAATTAGCTAAAAAGTTCGTTAAAAACAAACTCATATTTTTTCCTTAATATCCCTTAGGTAGGTAACTAATTGAAGGGATTAAAATATAATCTTATTTGCTCCAGAGCAGAAGTTCATTAAAGTTAGGAGGCTTAATGACTGAGTTTTTGAAAAAAAAAACAAGCGAAAGTAGAGAAAATACTGTGGCAGAAAATCTTTTTCGTTAAAATACTATTTTTTTCATTTCATGGGGTGTCGATAGATTAAACCAAGGCCAACTTGACCATGTACGACACGTGTCACTGCGACTCGTTATTTTTGTCGCAAGAACCGTCAAAATTTGATGTCAGATCGCGACCAAATACGAGTTTTTCATTCCACAAGCAAGTCAGTATTCCAAAAAAGCTACATAATAGGATTGGTAAGTATTTTGAGATTTTTTACTTCAATTTATCTAAAAAAAATATATGGGCAATAAAAGTGTAAAGACTGTTTAGCCATCGTTAGCTGTTACGTCATCATTATTTGTCCAATATGAGGTTTAGAGTATGTCTGAGATCAGTATTTAGTACGTACCAAAGAATATACCTAGCTAGAAAAAGAATGCACTCTGTCATACTGAAAAATGGTCCTACAGAAGTGGTGCCATCTATTGAGTAGGGCTTGTTTTAAATGGATCGAAGCGCGGGCTTTTTAAATGAGCGTATTTATTGAATTTTATATATAATTATTATTGAAAATATATAATTAAATTTGATTATTAAATCTTATTTTTTACACAAATTCAACAATACTAAAAACAAGTATCGTTGTGATGTGTAAAAAATAAGATTTAACAGTATAATTTATACAATTATTAAATAAAATTAAAGCCCAACATGTGAAATATTATTTATTATTTAAAGTTTTTATTTATAAGTCAAATATTTACACATCGTTTATTATAATAAAACAAGACCAATGTAATACGCCCAAAGTTTTGTAAATGGAGTAAATATAAATAGGTACTTAAATGATGGCAAAAATAAAAGACTTACATTATATTTTTAGGGCCACAAACAAAAGGAATTGTCTAATTAAAACACATATAACAACTTATAGTTTGAAAAACATTTTGATAATTATTTATTTGATAATATTATGATCATATTATGATTGGCGCTATGACAACGACAATATTTTTTGAGAATTTGACAATAATATGACATTGGCCGTTGGAAACTATGGAAACTACAAAAAAATTCTGATTTAACGCCATCTGGCAATAACTAGTAGCAACTTCTTAACCTAAAAAATTAATTGCACTACCACCTAGTGGCTAGGGCTGGAACTATTTTATTTGAGATTTCCGTGGAAACGGTAGAACCGCTTTTGCTATTTGACTTTCCCGCCCCTGGTACGTACCCATGGTACAAAGAAAACAAGGTATAATCGATAGCGGCTCCAATTTCGTTAAGTTTGCGCATACCACCTGTGACGTCATACGCCATACAAAAAAATATCCATATTGTTCAATTGCCACTAATAAAAAAAGACCTAAAATAGGGAAGAATTAGGACATAACCCCAAAAGTTATGTTTTGACATCGAGCTTGACATTTGAAAAATTATTTTCACATTTTGACACAATCAAATTTCACAGATGACACAATCTGTTTGACAATTTGAAATTGGCGTGCAGAGCTTGCCGACCAATGGTGTGACGTAGTGACCAACCTGCGCAATATCATACCTTGTATTCTTTGTATCATGGTACGTACCTATATATTATTGATTGAGTGAGTTCCGTTTTTTTTCACCATTTATTAATTTTGTCTTGAACTCTTTATCAGTTACGATCCCTACTAATTCCAATCCTTTGGACTATTAAAATTCCTATTTTTGAAAACATTAGAAATTCGTTATATAATTTAAAAACGCTATAAATTTGTATTTTACATAGGAATATTACATGTCTGCATTGTACTTACTTCATATACGGCGTCCACGGGCAAGTGTTCTACCAGCCGTCAAACAATCAAATTTTAATTTCGACATTGATCGATGTCCGTCAATAAAATTATAACCCCAAATGAAATGACAATGACAGTTACTAAAAAGAATATGCAGTAATTTACGAAATGCCGTAATGACGTCACCGATCTCTTTCATCTGGTTGGCAAGTGATTGAGAGAATTAGACAATATATGACGTGACGTTGAACGATGGCTGAACGTTCTATATTTTTAAAAACATTTTCATATATTATTTACAAGATGATTCGTATATTATCTTTCAATAAAACTACTACTACTGCCATTACTCGCTGACGAGTATTTGACACGCATATTAGATATATCTACAACTTTATTTTTTACAACTTTATGTGATATTAAAGGTCACTTACTTCATTTTCTAAGCCCCGTTCTTTGTTCTATCTCTCTATTATAATCCTTGCGCATCCTTTGCAATTTAATAAAACCGGAAGAATTTAATGAAATGGAATTTATATTCTCAGCTAAATTCTTCGTAGGTTTTGAATGGGTGCCGGATACGTGCCGACGACTTTATTGCATTCCTTGCTAAGCTCAGAGACTTAATAGACCTCAAATAGAGCTGAAGATTGTTCTTGGATATTCGGTCCCACGATATCGATTGCTTTTATATTAGTTTTAACTGCAAGAATATTAAATTATTAATTAATTATGTATCTTCTATTCTAAATAATGTGTAAGATTTGAAGCAAATGGGATTTTATTTTAATTTACTATTTTATATTTTAAAGTTTTTCAAAATTCGATCAATAAACCAATTTTTTACTACTATAAATTTCTATTAAACCATATGTCCGTCTGAGAACTCCATTCGGGTACCGCTATCCACGTGCCGAGTTTGGTTCCAATCGATCCATAATTAAGAAAAATCCTGATGATTTCGTCCATTTGGAGGCATCGGTTCGAAACGTCGAGGGCGTCATCCTGTAGCCCGTCCCCAATTATGCCGAAATCGACCCATATTTTTCTTCAATATCAAATCCTTAGTCCCACCCTGATGAAGATGTAAATGAAACGTCGTATCCAACTTTGTTACAATTTATTGCCCATATATTTTTTTAAATAATTAATATATTTTTTTTAAATAATTAATAATTTTAAAAAATTGAAGTAAAAAATCTCAAAATACTTACCAATCCTATTATGTAGCTTTTTTGGAATACTGACTTGCTTGATGTGGAATGAAAAACTCGTCTGGATGTTTTTCTCAATAATATAATATTTCATCTAGTAATGAACTAATAATATTTATAAAAATAAAAAGAATTTAAACAATGTGATTTGAAGATATAATTTTGATTTTTTCTTACAAAACTTTTTATACTAAAAACTTATAAGCCTGCGCGGTAAAGATCTGCCTGCTTGAGGTATATAAAAAGAACTTACCATACCTCCTGCTTGATATTTCACCTTCTTCTTTCAAGCTGAAAAGTGAAAAATATAAAAATATACACATAATGTAACCATTTAAAATGCATCTACCGGTTTTAACTAAAATATTATTTGTGTTTAGTTTTTCTAGTTCGGTTTTCTGTAAAACTGGTAAGTAATTTAAAAAAAAATATGTTATTAAGTGTTTTAAATAATTTTTTTTGATAAAATTCAGATAGAAATAAAATTTTTGATTTGGCGTTGAATGGAGACAACAGTATTTCATTACACTGGATGTTGAATTATGCCGAACAAGATGTGACTTTTGAATTACATGTTCCGTCAGGTTTCGGATGGTTTGCTTTTGGTTTTTCGGATAGAGGAAATTCATATCCGGCAGATTATTGCCTGTTATGGAAAAATATAAAAGGAAAATTTAATTTGTTGGTACGAAAATTGTGATTTTTCTTATACAGGGTGGTCCGAATTTTATTCGGGATACTTCAGAAGCATATTTTGCTGAGAAAAATAAGTAAAAAAAGTTTGAAGTTTCATTTTTATTTCTTTTTTTCCAAATAATTTCTGAACTATGGTCGCTATTTGGTCGAAAATTGTGTCTGTGGCATGTTTTTAGATGTTTTGAAGAGTAATAACTTTTCGTCCTTACCTGTATAAATCTACTGAGTGAAAAATATGAATTTACGATATTTTTTACGTAAAAACAATCGTCCTCAATCTATTTGGAATGGAAATAGTCAGTACATGTCATTATTGACAAAAATAAACATATTGACTAGAGAGTTATTTGACTGAAATTAAAAATTTGGGAATTTTTAATTTTTTTAATTATTTAAAATTTTTTCTAGAAAAAAAATTATGATAAAACAGTTTCTATTGAACCTTTGGCACAAAAACATTTTAAATTTATTATTTCAGTCCAAATCTGGTCGACATGTTTAATTTATGTCAATGATTACTTTTATTGATTATTTCGATTCCAAATGTCTCGAAAACCAACAAGCGATTTTTATCCAGAGATCGTTTTTGCGTAAAAATGGCGAGAATGCAGGTACGGACGAAAAGTTATTAGTCTTGAAACCAGTTAAAAATATGTATCTCCTTCTACAAGTAGCAGTCATATTGATATCGAAATCAAATTTCTGATGTCAAAAACTTCCAGACATCAATTTTCATTCAAATATCGATGTTAGTTTTGCATTAAGGTCGGTTTCTAAGGAGCTTAACTTGTCAGTGGCTAGAACTGTATATTATGCACTTTTTGAGTCGCACCTCAGGTATGCCCTTCAATTCTGGGGTACGTGTTGTGCGACTCAATTTGACCGAAGTTTCAAGCTCCAGAAGAGAGCTGTTCGATATTCACTGGGACTGAACAGCAGAACTCATTGCCGGGACTTTTTTAAAGTATTAAAAATATTGACTCTTCCTTCTTTATTTATATTTGATCTGTTTGCCTAATACGTAAACATGTATCAGCTTCTCAAGAAAGGCCATCTCACACTTATCTACTCAGGAACGCGGAGCAAGATCTTTATCTACCTACCCCACGCTCAGAGTTAGTTAAAAGTTCAATATTATATAATGCGAAAAAAATGCACAATCACCTGCCATTTGAAATCAAATCCATAACATCATTTTTTTCATTTCGCAAAGCATTGAACTCTTATGTATAGTCTGTCCAACGAGAAGATCCTTGACAGTGATAGATGTGTCTGTCATTTTAATTTCAAAGTAGTTTATTTTATTTTACAAAGAAATAAGTTGGTACAACTGGAACGCATAGCGATATATTTAAAATTTGATTGACAAGATGACAAGTGATTACTTCAAAATATTGTGAAAAAACTGTATAAAACTGAAAAAATGTAATCGAGTTATTTTATTTAATAAAAACGGTATGTGTTAATACAAAACAAACAAGAACAAGACACTACATACCAAAAAATATAAAAAAGAACTATTATTTACTTTCAAGCTTTATGAAACTACCCGCATTTATGATTATATTTATCAATATAACTTATGTACAAATACAAATTTGTAATATTCCACAGGTATAAATAAAACAACATAGGTAAATACAACAAACTATTTTAATAATAAAAACACCTACCAAATTTTATATCTTAAAGGTTGATTAATTAACTTTAATCTTAATTTTTTTAAACCAGTACCTTTTGACATTATTTTTCTGCAGTACTAAAATCCATTATTTACCTATCGTGTGATGTCAATATTTTACAGCTACTCCAGTTTTTAGTATGTGTTTAGTTTGATCCTTATATACGAGATGCACTTATCTACGACGAAATGGTATACAAACTTTATCGAATGCAACTTCATTGGTGTATAAGACTTTCTGCCTGGGCAGCGTGTATTAACCATAAACTGTGCTCTGGGTCTACAGTTAATTTTCACTCGATTTTTCCTCCACTTGACTTCAAAAGACACAAAACACACGTAATAATACGAATCAAAATGCATCATCTTCCAAAACGCAGGGTATTTAACAAAAGTTGACACAAAATTATAACCTATAATTTGGCAAGACTTTGACAAGCGTCAAAAATGACAAAAATCTAAAGGCGAGTTCATACGCATCGGCGTCCGTTTGTCGTTCATCGTTCCGTCAAACCAATAAAATTGAAATACGATCTGTCATTTTTTAAATAAACCAATAAAACTGGTTAAAAACAAGAAGACACGACGCATGACGGATTTATATTTAAACCCATCCATAGATAACTTAAAAATTATTAGAATCTTTTTTTAGTAAAATAAACAGATTGGTATGGGACGTCATCTGCTTTTCTTCTGTCATCGTCTGTCGAAATCTTACCTGAGAAAAAAAAACAGTATACTAGACAAGGCTTTCTACCCCGTAAATGAATTATATTTTGAACATCGATTTTGATCTTGTAAACACTGGTCTAATGTTTGCTATTGCTATATTTACTAATGACATCGAAATAAATTTATTTAGAGGTCATTGATATTTACTCTAAACTAACTAAATATTTTTGAATATTATTTTTATATTTTTGTTCTTTGACATTGTAAACATTTATAAATGTTTATTTTAAACTATAAGACTGACAATATTATTTGTATAATGTTTTGTATTATCTTTTGTTTGTTTGTTTGTGTACCTTTGTCTACAAATTGAAAAAATTTTTGACAATAAAGGCATTTATTTATTTATTTATTTATTTAGTTCAGAAATTATTTAGAAAAAATAGAAATAAAAATAAAAGTTCTACATCCTGTATCTCCAAAACAAAGCTTTTTAGGGCATAATTTTATACGAACTTTTTTACTTAATTTTATCTGCAGATTATGTTTCCGAAGTTTTCCGTTTAAAATTCGGACCACCCTGTAGATTACTCAAATTAAAACTTCTTAAAGTCTAGTTAAATAAATTATAAAAATTTATTTATTATAATATTAGGATACTTGGGCTAATCAATATGGAGTCTTGGAAATTGACAAAAAGCAAGATTGCATAAATTTTAATGTTATAACCAGAAAAGGAGTCACCAAATTTACTTTTAAAAGAAAGTTTGATACTTGCGATCCAAAGGATTATATTATTGAGGTATTGTACAACTTTTTTAAGTAATATAAGTTAATGTAACGGCTTAAACAAATTTTATACAGGGTGGGCCACTGAAAACTTACAATGGCTATAATTTTTAAACCACAAAAAATGTCAAAAAAATAAAAAATACTGTTTCTGTAATATGATTGGATAAAATTTTATCCAAGGCAATGGATTGACAAAAGGGGTCCAATCGAGTGGCCATCAAGGTCACCTGATCTCACTCCTTTAGACTTTTTCTTGTGGGGTTACACTAAATCCATAGTCTACAAGACAAAACCAGGTTCGTTGCCAGAATTGCGACAGAGGAGAACTGAAGCATGTCGAAATATTCCGAGAGAGACTTTCCAAAAAGTGAGAGAAGAATTTGAAAATTGTTTGTATTTTTGTATGGAACAAAACGGCTGTCATTTTGAGCAAATGTTAAAATAAATTATCATTTTAAATTTCTTTCAAATTGTCACTCCTACATTTCTTATCACTAACCAGTAATTAAGTTGAAGTCTGTATGACCATCGTTTAGCAATTTCAATTAGCTTTCCAAACAAGTGTCACAAGTGGGGTATCGCTATCTTGAGATTAGAAGTGAGGGGATGGCACCTAGGGGTGGGTTGGGGTTGTTTGAAAAATACTTCATTTGCCTCATTTAACTGATTATCGATGATAAATTTGGCGAGATCAATCTCTAGACGTCATTTACTAAAAAAAATGACATTAAGAGTACCGGCTAAGTAAGTGACGTCTAGGGCTTGACCTAGCCAAAATTATAATCGATTGTCATTCTCTCGCCATCTTTGACGCTGTTTTTTTTTAGATCGTATGGTATTTTAATAAAACACGCTTTTAGATGTTTCAAATTTAATGAAAATAATTTTATCTCTACGCGTGTTTCAGCTTGTTAGGCCTCTTTCAAGAGTTTTTTAAAACTGTAAAGTCTATCTCTTAAAAAACAAGACTTAACAATATTCTATTGATGTTTCACAAGGAAACAACTCTAAATTCAGTACCACATATTCCATATTATTTATTGAATATTTAATTATTAAGTTTTAAAATAATTTTTTAAGGATGGTACTACTCATATAGTTTGGGCTAGAGGTTTCGAAATCGTACCTAGTGCAAAAGGCTTAAATATCAGTACTTCCAAACGAGAAAACCATGGTATGACCAGAGTGACTTTACTGAAAAATATCCATGCTAATACAGAGTTGCCCAGTCATTTAACAACTTTAAATTTGTTGAATGATAAGGTCAAAGTGCCAGCTGAAGAGACGACTTATTGGTGCAAAGTTTTTAAATTGCCGGAAAAATTTACGAAGAAACACCATATATATCAGGTACTTATTTTTTATAAGAAACTTAAAATAAGATTTTTTATTTATTTATTTTTTTTTAATTTTAATTTATAAGTTTCTCAATATTCAAAGATAGGTATCTATATGATATTGTACATGAAATATGTCAAGAATTTTCTGAATATTATTCAAAATTATGACAATTTACAGGGTGTAGTGTTTAAACCTTTGGTTTAAACAGATGACGCACTCTATACCAGGTGCGTCTCAAAAGTGAGGTATGGTATGGTCTATAACTTTTTTATTTTTTGAGATAAAAAAAACGAGATTTGGTATGTTAGTGTATGACATAAATTAGGATTGATTGACGTATTCAATTATTTTTGGTCACTTCCTGTTTCACCGGAAATAACTACAACTTTTGATCTTTAAATGGTACCCTCGGTATTTTTTTACTTTATTCGATAGAAAATGACACTCTGAATAGAATGACATATTATATGTCAACTTTTGACATTTACGCATATGCTTTATTTGAAATAGTAATATTAGACATATAAATAATAGACAATTTGACTCGAAATACCAAGTGTGTGGTAACAAATTATTCGTAAAAAGTTGATTTTTCCAAATATGCTAATGAACCACCTTTGTTCTATTTGAAAAAATTGAGATATGATTAAAAAACGATTTAAGCATCTTTTAACCAGTCAGGACAAGACACGAAAAACGTTAGAAAATCAAATCTATTTTTCCAAGGATCCTTGATTAAACATTTTGAGTTTTTAACACAGCCATTATTGCACTCCAGATTGAAATTCAAAATACAATTTTTTTGTAAGCGAAAATGTCAAAAGTTGACATATCATATGTCGTTCTATTCAGAGTGTCATTTTCTGTCGAATCAAGTAAAAATATTCACAGGGTGCTATTTAAAAATCAAAAGTTGTAGCCATTTCCGGTGAAACAGGAAGTGACCAAAAACAATTGAATATGTCAATCAATCCTAATTTATGTCATATACTAACATACCAAACCTCACTTTTTATCTCAAAAAATAAAAAAGTTATAGTGGTGAGCCACTATTTTTGAGACGCACCCGGTATATAAAAAAAATGTTGTATATATAAAAAAGCACAACTAAAAATATAAATCAAATTATACAAACGTCTTTTCCAACACTGTATGATGGTATCATTACTACTGATTTCAGTATGGAGCAAATATTCAAAAGTCTAGTGAAGGTTTGGTCCACCACATGGAAATGTTCCACTGTGAAACAAAAACTAATGTAGTAATTCCTCTGTACAATGGAAACTGTTTTGCATCAGATAGACCCAAGGAAACAATGGTTTGCAAAAGGGTCCTTGCAGCATGGGCTATGGGAGCTTTACCATTTACTTATCCAGAGGTATGTATTTTAATAAGATAATATCAGAACTTAAATATTATTAAAACTATGTTATTTTATTTCAATTTACTAAAGGAGGCAGCTTTACCACTAGGTGGTGTTGATTTTAATCCTTACGTTATGTTGGAAATTCACTATAATAATCCAGAATTGAGATCAGGAAAGTAAAAAAAAAATATTCGGAAAAATATTGTGTTAAACTAATCAATTTTTCTTGATTTATAGGCTTTGTTGACAGTTCAGGAATAACATTCCACGTGTCTGATGTTCTAAGAGACGTAGATGCTGGAGTAATTGAGCTGGGATTAGAGTATACTGACAAAATGGCTATTCCACCAGGACAAGAATCATTTCCATTGGTTGGTTACTGTATTAGTTCATGTACTTCTGTTGTAAGTTATCTCATTCATATATTATATTCTTATATGTATATCTAAGTAATATTGTGAATTTATGTCTAGGGTCTTCCAGCTGAAGGTATAACAATATTTGGATCTCAATTACATACACATTTAACAGGAGTTAAGGTTTTCACCAGACATTTTGATGCTTTTGGAAGAGAATTGCCAGAATTGAATAGAGATAATCATTTTAGTACGCATTTTCAAGAAATAAGAAGGCTAAAGCAACCTGTTAAAGTTCTACCAGTAAGTAGCATAAGCTTTTAAAACTCAGTTATTTTTAAGACTAAGTTATTTACAAAATTAAGTCCTTAAAAAATTGTACAACGGGGAAACATTCATAAATATCGTATGTTTTTGGATTAAATGGCTAATAGCTATTAGCTAGACTTCGCTCACATTGCATTGGTACTATCTTTTTTAGTAGAATAAAGGAGATTTATTGTCTTATTACTTAAAATACATTAATTTTAGGGGGATGTCCTTATAACAAGATGCGACTACAATACAATGGACAGAACAAACGCAACCTTGGGTGGATTTTCGATAAGCGAGGAAATGTGCGTTAACTATATCCATTATTACCCTCATACTGCTCTGGAAGTATGTAAAAGTTCTATATCCGATCAAGCTTTGGACACATTCTTCCACTATTTGAAAGAGTAAGTTTTTGTCTGTATAAAAATTAATAAATATTTCTTTTTAAAGTTTGAATGTAAATAAAATTTGAATATTTTTAGATGGGAAAATCAGCCAACATCTGCTTCAAATGGTGTGTCAAGTAATTATAATTCTATTGAGTGGAATAAAATGAGGGTACAATTGTTAGATGAAGTTTATCATGAAGCGCCTTTGAGTATGCAATGCAATATGTCTAGTGGGGATAGATTTCCAGGTGAATATAAGTACATAATATATGCAATAATTATACTAAGATCGGAAAAAAATATCGTGAAAGTTGCCTTTGATGATCGCTGATGACTGGCGAATGTCTTATATGGCGAATGTCATCGATCGTCATTTCCATGCCAACTGGACGCCGTTTTTTTTTCGATTATACTGTACTCATACTTTGATTTCTTTAGAAAAAAATTTCAGATAGTGGGCGCTTGACCAATTTCGGGTTTACTTAAAGTATTTACATTGTTATGAATAAAAATAGGTCTTTTTAGGGTTCCGCACCCAAAGGGTAAAAACGGGAACCCTATTACTAAGATTTCGCTGTCCGTCTGTCACAAAGGTCTGTCTTATGAACCGTTATAGCTAGACAGAATTAAATAAATGTTTATAAATAAAAAAGTACTTTCACTAAACATTATCTTTTAAGTAAGGATTTTACATAGAATCTTTCAAGTCCTCGGTGGCCGCGTGGTTAAAGCGTTAGGACTTTACGCTGCTATGACGTTGGGGCCGTAGTAAGGCAGGTTTCAATCCTAATCAAGGCGACTTTTTTTTAATCGTTTTTTTTACTTACTGCGTTTGTGTAATATTCTTTAACTGTAACTTCTAGTAGTCTTTCATTTTTCAAAATTTAAGATTTTTCATAATTACATTGTACCTGAGACACACTTTCTTCTAATTTGGTTTTGTACGTGTCAAGACAAACCTTAAGGTATTATTAGCTTTGGTGTCATTTTTAATGCCATGCTGCCTCCTGATTTGTTCAAATATACCCTTTTTAAGAAACCTTCAGGAAAAAAAAATCCATATTCATCAGTAGATTGTTCTTGGCATTTTTCTTAATTCAATTTTCCACATAAACCATTCAAAATCAAATTTCTTTTATTTTTTTTTCTAATACCTGGTCATACAACAATGTAATGATATGTTTGTTTATAAAGAGGAAATGCCTGTATTGATCCATAGCCACCTTAGAATTGTTATCAAAAACCTTTTGTATTCTCTAAAATCACTAAAGAAAATATCAAAAAGCTTCATATATTTGAAATCAAGAAAGCATGCACTTTATTTCAACATTTGATAATTCTAGTGGTTTCTTGATATTTCAAAAATTAAAAAGCGTTTTATTTTTTTCTAGAAGTAATAACTGCGGAGATTTATTATTGGTTAAAATATAACTGAAAACCCAATACATCTATTTTATTTATTGATATTTTTTAGGTTATTGGGAAAATGCACCATTACCTGCTATTTTAGCACCTCTACCACCTCCAGAAAGAAATTGTCACGACCAGGAAAACGCTATTTTTGATTGAAATACAAAAAATAGAAAATATATTTTTAGGGCAGTTATTTATTAATAAATAAATATATAGTCTGCATTAAATTTTGCTTATTTTATACAAATTATGTTTTTCGTGGGGGTTGGTACAAATAAAACAAAATACACACATAACTTAAAAAAAACTTGTTTGAAAAAAGTATCTTACAAAAGTTGCTATCTTTGATACACATAACAATAAAATATAAAAATTTTCTATGTCTTAAACTTACTTAATTATTAACACTAAACTACATAATACTAACTTAAAAAAAATAGAGTTGTGTGTTTAAAAATTGCGACAGTTCTGTCATCACACAGAATAATAAAAAAATAAACTGTTTTTTTATTGTTCTGAATATTATACTTCGTACAAAAAGTGTCACGATTTTTTTTATTAAGGTTATGTACAACATAAAATATATTTTATTTATAAAATATGATTTATTGCCGTTTTTAAATGGCACTGCTATAAGAATAGAAAAAAAAACAAAATTTGCCATTAACAGGGTTTTAAGTGTAAAGATATGTGATATTCTCGTTAACTAAAGATTGATTAATCAAGATAAAGTTATAGTTTTAATAAGGTACTTTTTTATCATAATTCTGTCTATTATGATACGCATTTAAACATTTTATCATAAAAGATTGTTAAGTTTTGCTTTACTAAGACAATTTTCGAACTTCATTCTCATTCAAGGTAAGTAGTCTTTTTCTGAGACAAGTAAGAGTTTATCTAGATGCCTAGTCATCCTAAATCTGTGGTTTTGATATCAACATATTAGACAATGATACAGATATCGAATGAACAAATCAGTCATGTTAAAAAAAGAGGGAAATGCGTAGGCATTTCGAATAGTAGATACAGCAGTTCTTATAGAGAGCTTATCAACAGCGATCAACAGAGCTTATACACAGCAATCAACAAATGATTGAAACAAGTTATGTCAATGCATTCACGTGAATTTTTTGACTTTGGTACTTATTAAATCGAAATATTTTTCAAAGTAAAGAGTTATTACAAGTCTTTACAAGAAGAAAAACTATTTTATTATTGTCATTTTGGGAAAAATCCATTCTTCTTTAAAATTTTTGCTTGTTCTAAAATGGTTAATCATTAAGAATTTTGTCTAAGACGTAAAAATTAAAAGGTCTCTCTATGGTAATATAATTTCTATTTCATTCTTTGATAGACCGTTATAATTAATTTTGATTAACGTCATATTTGTTAATGTCGTTAAAGTATTACATTTTCTGATAACTATTATTCCCCTTTCTGTAGCATTAAAATAAATAAATTTTGTGATTCTTTAAGATTTTCAAACAGCAAAAAATTTGACGTTAATCAAAATTCTGTCAATAATCTATCAAAGAATGAAAATGAAATTCTATAGCCGTAGAAACGCGTTTTGATTTATAGGACTTTGAAAAAATCATCTACATTTTCATGTCTTTTTTTTTATTTTCTATAAAACGGTATGGAAATTTGGAAAAGTATAAACGGAATTAATCATTTTAAATCAAGTAAAAACTTTTCTGAACAATGCATTTACACCAAAATGTCAATAATAAAAAAGATTTTCCTTTTGTAAAGACAATCCGGAGACATACTGTGGATAAAAAATCCTCATTTCATTATAGGGAACAAACTTTACAGTTTTGTGCATTAAAATACAAACCACTGATGTAGAATGGCCAGGCACCATAACTATCAATAAACCGCTAAATACAAAAAAAAGTTCAATAAATAATTCTATATTAGTCCCACCGTAACTCGACCTAGTATCACCTCCTCACCTTCAAACTCCACCCTAGTCACCATGCACGGCCGTCAGTACCGTTTATGCCCGCCAGGGGGCGGCCTACTCGCCCCCCACTCTCTCCCCTCCTTGTGGTGATGGTGGTGATGATGGTGTCGCTTCCTTTCGGCCACCTTCGCACCGTACGCCTCGTTCACGACCATTTCCGAAGCGTCCCGTTGCCGCTCGGTGCGCATCGGCTCGTCCAAGGTCTCCTTGCGACGCAGAGGCGAGTGGTTGCCCTGGTGATTTGTGCGGGCTGCGCTGGCCTTGAGTCCGGACTTTGAGCCTGCTGATTCGTGCAGGTTTTGCCAGGCTTGGCGGTAGTACCGGTTCAGTCCGCCGTTTCCTGAGCCTGAGCTGGATGAGTCGAAGGAGGCTACGGTGTTGCAGTCGGGGGATGCCCTGTGGCGGTAGTGTTTGGCACTTCGATTCCTAAAAGAGAAATAATTTTTTTAATAGAAAATAAGTAAACAGACAAAGCATTAAAAAGGAGTTATATGGAGCTTCCCCATGCAAGGTTGTCAGTTTATTTGTTTTGGGTTAAAGGGTGCCGGAAATCACCGTGCGTAAAATAGAAAATTATTTGGAGATGAAAAAACATGCAGTGCGGGTGTTTAGAACCAACATCAACCAGATTTTTCTTGATTTCTTTTGGCGGAGCTTACAATACATTGCTAACTATATTGTATGTAATATTTGAATTCAACATTATAGCAATAAGTATTTATTTGTATTTTATTTTTTATAATTATTTGTTTCTTAGTTTTGTTGTTTATTCAATAATGTATCTAAGGATAATACATAATCTCTTTTTTACGACAAACTTGTAGATGGAAGAAGGAAATCAGGTGGACAATCTAAAAGGTACGAAGATATTCTCCACGAAAACTTAAAGATGATATAAATGCAAAATCAGTGGGAGAAAAAAACAACGCACGACTGAATTCAATGAAGGAGAATTTTAAACTCAGTTAAGAACGACAACCAAAAAGTAAAAAGTCTACAAAAAATGAGACTTTTGAATGTCCAGAGTGCGAAAAAGAGATCAGATCTGGCTTTTCACAACCACAGAAAAACTCATCAAAGACAACGACCTGCGTAACCATCATGATACGTGTCAAATACTTGTCAGCGAGTAGTAGCTAAGGAGAGCCACTACTCGTTGGCTAGCTAGCAATAACTTTGAACTATCCGGTAGCTAAAAATAACTAAATGCCATTAAATATAAAGGTTTTTCGTGGTGATAATATTAAGCTAAATTTGGTCAAAAACAAGCACTATGTAGCAACAAAATGTCTGATCGATTGATTAAGAAAGCATCCAGCATGAATAGTATTTAAAAGGCCTTCTCAAGCTTATTTTGTATAGCAGCTGTGACATTATACAGAACTTCAAGAACCACTGGAACAAAAAAAAATACTTAGTAATAGCCTTAAAAAATGTGCAGTATCTCGATAAAAAGATTGCCACAAACTTTGAATATGCAAATCACTGCCAAAATGCCAATAGACATAAAGAAAAAAAGAAATGCACTTATCTTGCTATTAATCATGGTAAATATTTATTATTGATTTGGGGATTATCATTGATTTGGGCTTGTTTCTCTCTACAATTTCCTGTCTCACAATGTACCGTTTGTGTCCAGGAAGGGTTCATAGTTTCATAGATGTCGATTTTCGAAAGAAATCAGTACATGTATATTATTTCGTATATTTTTCATTTTATTGATTTTATAGAAAGCACTGTTCATTAAAATGTTGTATCCTATGTTATAGGGCTTCTCTCTACAATTTCCTGTCTCACAATGTACCGTTTGTGTCCAGGAAGGGTTCATAGTTTTATAGATGTCGATTTTCGAAAGAAATCAGTACATGCATATTATTTCCTATATTGTTCATTTTATTGATTTTATGGAAAGCACTGTTCATTAAAATGTTGTATCCTATGTTATAGGGATTGTTTCTCTCTACAATTTCCTGTCTCACAATGTACCGTTTGTGTCCAGGAAGGGTTCATAGTTTTATAGATGTCGATTTTCGAAAGAAATCAGTACATGTATATTATTTCCTATATTTTTCATTTTATTGATTTTATGGAAAGCACTGTTCATTAAAATGTTGTATCCTATGTTATAGGGCTTGTTTCTCTCTACAATTTCCTGTTTCACAATGTACCGTTTGCGTCCAGGAAGGGTTCATAGTTTCATAGATGTCGATTTTCGAAAGAAATCAGTACATGTATGTTATTTCCTATATTTTTCATTTTATTTATTTTATGGAAAGTTATTAATGTTCACTCAGTTCAAGTCAGGAAAGAACACCTAACCTAACTACAGAAACCAATTCTAGACTAATGTAGGATTGTATGCGTGTTCTAGTACATTGGGTGAGGGTAGCAATGTTGTGTTAGCTTAGGTACCGGGCACAAGAGTTACAAGGGCAACAAAAATAGAGAAACAAGTCTCATCAGTGCCATTAATAGGTCCGAATTCTTCTGCGGCACTGCAAAAATAAACACAAAATGCTGGGTAACTAACAAATCTCTAAAATAATAATAAAAAATTCCAGGACAGAGACAAGCAAAAATGTTCATAGCCAAACAACATTCGCCAAAATATACAGCAGACCTAATAAGTAAAGACACAAACACTGCCAAAAATGTAATGGGTTTATTAACAGGGCATTGTAACCTCAATAACCATCTAAAGCTGATAGGATTAACGTACAAAACCACGTGCAGATTTTGTCAATCAGAAAAAGAAAAAAACAGAACACATTTTATATCAGTGCTTCAGCCTGACAAATGTGCGCTTCTATGTATTATGAAATGACAACCCATTGACGAAAAGCTGTACTTTCAAGGATTGGTCTGGATAACTTAACCTAAAAATCAGAAAAGAACCACATTAAATATGTTAAGACCGCAATGGAACACATCTAGAGGCACCACAATAATCTTGCCGTTGATTTATTTGTTATATTATTAAGTAAAATTATTTTTCAAACTCAACATACAACCATTCCAATTATATATTTTATAATAGGGCATGCAATATCTGTTCGAACCAAGCGTTTCTCAGTTTTATAGTAGTTTAATATGAGTTTCTTTGCACTGTATTGTAAACGATGCCCTAAGATCGATCAAGATAGCTTACGTAAACAAGAGAATGGCACTAAGGTCACATGGGATTACTGAAATACCCAGCTCGGTGCGATCGATAGCTTCGGCTAAACTCGCGCCTGCCGACTTGCTGGTCGGGGAACGGCAACGCCAGCAAGGTATACCATCTGGATGGCATGCTGGTGGGCGGTAGTCTGTGTGAGGATCTATTCGAAGCACCCGCACTGCACGAAAATTAAATTGTAGAAAACTGGGTAGACTTGTTATGATAAAAGGGGAAATGCTTTTTATCATAATTTCGTTGTTTATGATTCGCATTTTACCTTTTTTCTTGTTCTTTTTGAATTTTGTATATAATTTTGATGTTTTTCATTTCACAAAAATCGAACTGTATGAATTGTGTAGATTTATGATAAAAGATTATGGCAATTTTGTCATAATTACGTTGATTATGATAGTCATTTTATTTTTTTTTACTATTTTTGTCAAGTTTTTTATAATTTTGATGGGTCAATGTTTTGTTATTGGAGATTTACTAATGTCTGGTAAAATCATACAATTCTTACACTACCAACTACCTCTATTTTTATAGGTTATACAGGGTGAGTCTATAAATGCAAATATTTTCAGGGCTGGTATATTTCGACCCCAGGAACACGTCTATGAGTTTTTTTCGCAAAAAAGAAAATCGTGCATTTTCTTTTAAATTTCCATGTATATTTTTCGAAAACTTTTTAAAACTGCCCGTTCACCGCAAATTTTCCCGCGGTATAATTTCTTAATCTCTGATATTACCATGGTTACGGCTTTAATCTATGGTTACGGCACTAAAAGGGATGCAATAATTGCAGCCCTTTTAGTGCCGTAACATTTTTTCTGTAATTATTACAGAAAAAATCCGGTGGCTCTCAAAATTTTTTCAAAATTTTTTTTTTTTTTAATTTTCGAACTTAAATAACTCGGTTATTTTGGACTTATATCAAAAATGGTAAAGAGAAAATATGTTTCTTTTATCGAGATCTACCAGCCCTGGAAATATTTGCACTTATTTAAGACTCACCCAGTATAAACATAATAAGCTGAAGGCTAGCCTACATATCATTGGAATTATTGAAATATTTTTGTAACTTCCTGTGATACTTAATTATGATGAGACTTTTTCCTCTGCAATAATTTTTTAATACGGTTTGGTCTTAAAATTCTAAATCTTATTATGCTACCAAACTTGCTAAAATATAAAACACTATTTTGTCGTTTTTTTTAATGGAACACCCTGTATATTATTATTTTGTTAGATGGAGAATTAAGAAATGAATGTTTTTTGTATTAAAGTATTTTAAAATTTTTAACGGCTTTATAGTATATATTTACGGTGTTTATTACATACATATATGGCTCATTCATCGGTAGAATACCAGACAAAAATCGTTGGGTGTCTTTGATAAAAATTTACTGTGGAAAAAGTCTTATGTAATATAATACCGCAATATGTGGAAAACTTTTAAAAAATTAAAAATTCTTTAAATATAACAATAATTCTCCATCACACAAAAAAAATAACATACAGGGTGTCCCAGAAATAAGTGCAAGTATTTTAACTGGTAGTATAGAATAGTAATATATAACAACCCCAGAAACACGCCTTTAATTTTTTTTTTGCAAAAAGATTTTTAAAAATTTAAAATTTTTTGGAATTTTTTTTAGTTTTTAGTTAAAAAACATAATTTCTTGATAATATGGCAACATAGGTAATAGATTAAATTTGCAAGAAAGAAAATCCAGAAAAGATCCACTGGTTCTCAAAATTTTAGCAAAAAATCATTTTTTTTTTGGAAATTTTCAAAGTAAAATAACTCCGATATTTTGAACTTATTTGAAAAACGATAAAGAAAAAATGTTTCTTTTATCGAGATACCCCTTAAAATATTTGCACTTATTTCTGGGACACCCTGTATAGTGTGCACCATGTTTTAGAAAGTGTGACGTAGAATTTTCAACACCGAATTTGTATGTTTTAAGATTACGACATTTTTAACAATTAAGTAAATATCTAGTATAGTTTTGATTTCAGAACATTTCTTGTATTTTTATTTTCTTTTAAAGACTAATAAATTTATATTTTATATTTATTTATTAATATCTCTGAAACTATCAAAACATATTTAAAAATATCTTAGAATCATGTAAAGTGATCAGGAGGGAATCCAAAAATGCAATAATACACAGGGTATTCCGTTTAAAAAAATCATACGGATATAGTCACACATTTTAGAGTCACCCTGTGGAAGTTAAAATATTTTTTTGAAATGCATCTTTGTTTATACTTTAGGTTTGAACTTAGACAAATTTCTTGTATAAAGGTAATCAGAGGTAAATGAAAACAATTTTTTTTCAAATTTGTCTGCATTAAAAACCTTATGTTCTAATAAAAATTCTCAATTTTCTATAGCTTACTTGGGTATAAAGAAGATTTACAATCGATTAAATATATGAAATAAACCTTCCAAAAAAGCACGAATTTATTATTTAGATTTAAAGTTACTTACCTTCGAACTAAAATTACAACAGTAGTAATTATAGCTGCTAGGAAAATGAAGGCACCAAATGCTCCCAAAGCTATGATGGCACCCACATTGAGTCTGGCACCAAAAGGTTCCCGACGTTCACCATCAATTGACAACGGTATATTTACGTTGGGGGACTCACCATGCTGTATATTGGAACTACCTGTTGCAATAAAGAATAAAAATATCAAAATTAGTACATTTTAAAAAATTTAGAAGAGTTAGTAGAAGAGGTTGGACATCTAGACCAGATCGACCAACTTAGAGATTAAGAATAACAAAATAAAAATAAAAATATTAGTTATTTTTGTAGGGCTACTTTGGTGATCGATACTTGAAAAATTAGTCGAGATCACCAAAGTAGTTCGCGCACGAGTTGCAAACAACATTTTTTCTACAAACATTAAAATTGGGTTATCCCTAAAAATTATATCGAAAGTTTGAAATAGGTAAAGTCTTTTTCTCCAAAAGTTTATATCTAAATTATATATTATATTTATAGTAATATTGACTAGCCTGCTATTTCATTATCTTGTGGATGTGCTGCTATAATAATAGAAGGTCTGTCAGTAATTTCAACTGTTGTGGTAGTAGCCGAAGTAGATGACGGTTTTCTTGTTCTTGATGTTAACTAAAATAAGATGGTTTATGAGAAAATGATTGATTAATAAGCGTCAACCTTAGTATACCCTTATGACATCATTTGAAGCTTTTATGGTTGTGGGGGGTGGTCTAGGAGTTCTGGTTCTTGTTCTTATCGTTGTTGTTGGTACTGTTGGTGGTCTGGTAGCTTTTGTAACCTCCTGAGTGGTTGAAGTTAAAGCTGGATCTTCTACAAAACCATAATTATTAGTTAGATTTTTTTTTACTTTTGAGCAAAATAATTAAATAATAAAAATGTGCTGTTTTAGAAACATAAAAATATCTACGAGAATACTATTAAATGATCTTAATTAGTACAATAAAGCGATTTTAAGAAAATTACTTCCCGATAGAGTAAAATAATGAATTGAGTTGTAGACGATTGATGAAATTTTATACAGCATTAGGAAATTTTCATAGAATTCTCAACAAACTCAATTTTACATACACATCTCTAAAAGGTATTTAATCATTATATAAACTTTACCTTCACACGATGGTGGAAAAGAATCATATTGACCATTTGCCATACAAGTAATCTTGTTGGGTCCTACCAGTTTGTAACCTGGGTTACAAATGTAATTCACTGTTGAACCGTAATATGTGTCGTTGTTTGGTAACTGTAAAATTCCGTTGGTTATTTCTAGAGGTGGTTCACACTGAACGGCTGTAAATAGAGACAAAAAATTATTTTTCAAAATATTATTTAAAAAATATAAAGTTTAATTTAACCAAATTTTAAGTTAAGGCGTTAATAAAAGTCACTTATCAACAAGAAAAACATAAATAATAGCTAAAAAAAGAAAAAAGGTACTAAAAGCAATATATAGCGTTAAAAAATAAAATACAACGAATTTTTTCTGTATTTAGTGGGTTTATTCCTGTTTTTACTACTATGAAATAAGTTTACATAACGACTTTTACTTCATTACATTTATTTCAACAGAAAAAAAATAAAAACCACAAATCAATAAGAAAACTGGGAATAAGCAAGAAAAAAATCGCTAAAAAACGGAAAAATAAAAACTAAAAAGCATAATATAGTATGAAAAAATAAAATTAAAGCAACTCTTAAACGCAAATTAAAATGACAGACAACAGTAGCTCTCCTATCACTGGATAGCCTTACTTTTTGGTTAAATTAAACAATATAGCTACGTTATTTATTGGTTGATTTTACTTATTATATTATATTATTATAAGAACTCACGTTCACATCTTGGTGGTGGACCGTTCCATCTTTCATCAATATCACAGGCTAACTGTGCTCTTCCCACCATTTCAAAGCCATCATCACAGCTGTAGATCACTCTGCTTAAATATCCAACTGAATCATTCACCAAGGTGTAGTCACCGTTGGGAATATCAGCAGGATATCCACATTGAATACCTAGAAAATATAAATTATTATTTCATTATGAAATGAATTAAAAAATAAATAAAAATAAAAAAGTGGGAAAACAAAAAAATTAAATAATAACGCCATAGAAAGAGATTTATTGACATGATCAAGGCCATCTAGACGGCTGATTCTTGAGAAGTGTGAACTCTAGCTTATCTCTTTATTTCTTCATTTTTTATTTTCTTTTTTTTTCGTTTATTATTTTTTCCTTTTGTATTGTTTTTTGTTCGTTTTTTAAATATTTTTTTAACTAATGAGAATAACTTACGTTTGCACACTGGCGGAAATTCGTTGTAAAATCCCGTTTCCAAGCATGTTCTCGTACTCGGACCTACTAGTAAATGCCCTTCGTCACAAGCATACTCTACTATAGAACTCACATTGAAATCTCTAGCTATCATGGTCGAATTTGGTGGTTGTTCTGGTCTTCCACATGCCACAGGTTCTGAAAAAGCACAAAAAACTTAAAAATCTTAAATACAAACTAAGAAAAAGCTTAAATAAATTATAGAATATAATTCGGGATTAATTTGTAATGAGCTGTTTGTACTACTTACGGTATTGGCAGATGAAGTTTAGCCTCATGCTACAATCTGTATCTGACCATAACCATCCTTTGGTACCGTCGTATCTGGCACAGTCTCCATTTCCAACGGGTGAATTCCAGAATGAAAGGGTTACTTCGTCACCTTTTAACCATTGCCATCCGCCTGAAGAAATAGATAAATAAAGTAAAAAGAAAATAGAAGAAAAAATACTTCAAATTCACTATAATTTTTTCAAAAAGAAATGCATATATTTAGTTAAAATTGTAAAAAATTGATAGGAAAAATTTGCAGCAAGCATTATTTGAAAAGAAGTAGAAATCGCCTTTGTTATTACAGTAAATATGTTGTTAAGTGTTGAAACAAACAAAAGCTTGACAATAGTATAATTCGGGGCTTGTGTCATAAGAATTTGCAGGTTTTTTTTTAAACCAGGAAAAAATTCAAGACAATGATAACGGTATTTCTGCATCTCAAAAAATTACTACTCATTTACTGCATAATACTACTAAGGGCAAAGGTTAGTCTTGGGTAGAGATTTCCGTATGCAAGAAGAGTACAAAGCGTTTATAATGTACTGAACAAAGAGAGAACAGTAAACACATTGCCAAACGTATGAAATAAACCGAGAAACTGTGCACATCGCTAAGAGACGTAGAAGGGGATATAGCAGATTTGTCGCAGTTGACCGATCGACCCAATGAATACCTCTGTCAGTACTTAAAGTTCTAGGGGATGGTGTACGTCATGCGTTCAGGTTCACGATTTAATTACGTCTCGTGATACTTAATTTGTTTATTTATTAACGAGTCGATGTAATTTTCCCTATAGCTTGAATTTTTTTAAGTGCAAGCTAGAAACACTTGCATTTTTGGTAAAAATAAGTGGAATTGAGTGGGTGTTCGATAGTGGTCGCGCTATTAAAATTCAAAAATCGATATCTCGAAATAGATTGTAGTTTTTTGAAGAACTTTGTTAATATTTGTGCTGTATTTTCTTTGTAGACAGTATGTGAAAATCTTTATCAATAAAAAAATTACACGATTGCTGAAAATTGCTATGCTCTAAAAGTAAATGGATGGATTGTTTACAATTTTTGAATGGAAAAAACAACCTTATCGAATTTTTCTTATGTTAACATATTGTAAAATATCCGATCTCATCCGAAAAACGTTTCAATATCTAAAGTGGTTCTTGAGTTATGGCCTGTTATGTGTTAAAAAGTTGATTTTTTAAATTATCGCAATTACTGTCGTTTTCTCGTTATATAAAAAATGACACCCTAACGATATCCTTATAATTCCATTTCAGATGCTCAGAAACATGTCTAATGATTTTATCTAGTTATCTCTTGAAAAAAAAGTCTTTTAAAAATAAGCGGTTTGCGATCGTGATTTTACTTTACTATGTAGGGAAAGGCAAACCGGCAACGCCGCAACAGCACACCGTCGCATTTCTCTCACTCCGACTTAATAAGATCCCTATGCGATTTACTTCCACACATGTAAATGCCGACCCAAAAGTAACAGTTACCAGCACGGTATATAGTTGTGAATAAAGACTTTTAATTATTGATCAGATTTTTAAGCTCTTACCAAGTTGTTTATTTCGAATCGCCCCCATCCAGTACTGTCCTTTCGAATCACTCCTGTGCCTTCTCCAGAGCTCCCAACTGATGAATCCTAATTTTAAAATATATATAATTATAAATAAATTAAATTAGATTTATTTATTTAACTAACCTTGAAGTGCTGGATTACTCTCATCAATCAAAGTACCTCCGCGTTTTTTACAGTACTGCAACGCGTCCAAAAACTTCAAAGGCTGTTCGTTGTAGAATCCGTAGCATTTTCCGTTATATGTGGCAACAGTGCCAAGAGGTTGGTTTCTTAAATATGGACACCTGAAATTGAAAATTACTTATATTATTGGAAATATCTACAGTTATTATAAGTAAAATTATCTTTATTTTATATTAAAATATTTTTTTATTTTAAATGGTTATATACAGGGTGTTGCTAAATAAGTATTTTAGCGGGTGGTAGATCTGCACAATAGAAACACATTTTATATTTACCACTTTTAAAATAAACTAGAAATAACCAAGTTATTTTATAGTTATAATTAATATGTAAAAAATAAAAATATGTAAAGATTAAAAAAAAACATTAAAAAAAAGTCGCCTTGACTAGGATTCGAATCTGCCTTACTACGGCTCCAACGTCATAGCAGCGTAAAGTCCTAACGCTTTAATTTAACCACGCGGCCACCGAGGACTTGAAATATTCTATGTAAAATTCTTACTTGAAAGATAATGTTTAGTGAAAGTACTTTTTTATTTATAAACATTTATTTAATTCTGTTTTTAGTATTTGTTCTTATAGCGGCAACATAGATACATTATCTGTGAAAATTTCAGCTGTCTAGCTATAAAGGTTCATAAGATAGACCTTAGTGACAGACGGACGGACTGGCAGCGAAGTCTTAATAATAGGGTTCGCGTTTTTACCCTTTGGGTACGGAACCCTAAAAACTACGTTTACATTTTTAGAAGCACCGACTCTTACCTTATTCGATGCTGTGTTGCCACATGGACAAGAAAGTATTCACTTAACTTGCTTGAAAACACCGTATGATCGACAAAAAATCCAGAGGCCGATTTTTTTGGCGCCCCCTACAAGCAGGAGTCATATGGCTCTATTAAGCAGGAGTAAACGCTCTAATTTTCATCCAAATATCAACATTAGCTCAAAAATTATTTGAAAAAAAACGAAATAAAAATGAAACTTCTACACCCTGTATCTCCGAAACGAAGCATTTTAGAACATACATTTATACGAACTTATTTGCCTTATTTTTATTTGCAGAATATGCTGCCAAAGTTTCCAGAATACAATTCAGACCACCCTGTATATAAAATTTTGAACTTTTTTGCAAGAAATTTTCATTGGCGTGTTTTTTTTTTTTTTGTAAATTACCTTTCTATGGGCAGTGCTTGATCAGTATAAACAAAAGCCTCGCAGATAGATAACTGAGTGGCTACCGGTACTTCCAAGTGGACACTGACGAAAGCACCAGGCATAGGCGGGTTACAGGGAAGAAATAAGGGTTGACCTTCCTCCAGGAAACCGGTAAACCTGTTACAAACCGGGTTGATACCTAAGTCCGGTCTGTTGTTTCCTACCCTTACCACAACAGTGGCTGGTTTATTGGCACCTAAAATAAAAAATTGTAATCAATTAGAAATATTAATAATTCTAAGAAAAATAATAAATCTAAATTAGTAATACAAAGTGGGGTTAGTTATACCAGTTATACCGTTTGTAGCTCAAGAACGTACTGACTTTAATGATCTCTAGTATAGTGGAATAACTCTTAAAACATAAAAAAAATCACGGTAAAAATATACTGAACTTTAATTTTTAAATAAGTCTCTTTTTGGGGACACCCTATAGAATTCTAAATAATTTCAAAAAATGCTTTAAATTAACCTACATGCTCACAAAATTTCATTTCAATACGACGCGACACCAAAACATTTAAAAAAATATACAGGGTGGTCGGAACTGTATTCCGGAAACTTTGGCAGCATATTCTGCAGATAAAAATAAGTAAAAAAGTTCGTAAAAATGTATGTCCTAAAATGCTTAGTTTCGTAGATACAGGATGTTGAAGTTTTATTTTTATTTCAATTTTTTCCAAATATTTTCTGAAGTAACGTCAATATTTGGATGAAAATTGATGTCCGGGAATTTTTTGACATGAGAAATTTGATTTCGATGTCAATATGTCTTTTATTAGACTGAAATCATAAATTTGAAATGTTTTTGTGCCAAAAGTTTACCGGAAACTGTTTTATCATCATTTTTTTCGAAGAAAAGTTTATGATTAATAAAAAAAACAAAAAGTTCCCAAATTTATCAATGCAGTCAAATAACTATCTTCTCAACATGTTTATTTTTTGGCAATAATGACATGTATTGACTATTTCCATTCCTTTGAATAAGAAGACTAAGGAAGGAGCATATCAAAAATCTTAGGTACACCGCGATGGGCCTCAAATATGGCCGACTTAAATTCCGGTTTATCAGTGTCGTTCTAATTTTATTTAAAAAATGTAAAACTATGATGTAGGGTAGACGTGGGGTAGACTCTATAATTTGTTGTTTTATTTTACGTTGTGAATAAATGTTGGTAGATATTAAAATTGTTATAAAAATATATAATTCTAATAAAAATAGATAAGTTATAATAAGTATTTATTAACACAAACATCCGATACGCTACTGAAACAGGTAAGTCAAATTAACGTATCTAAATTCTTTGACATCTAATCTTTGACAAGTAATAAATAAAAGCTAAAATGCAAGAAAAATATATAATTTAGTTAATTTAAGTGAATTTCATAAATGATCGGTTTACTACACGTATGTATATTATATAGTCACTTACTAGCGAAAAGTTGTTCCATTATTTCACTCAATTTTTTCCGAGATCTACCGCACGCTACACAACCAACTATTTTAGAGTCTTTTTCGATAAATCGCGATAGTGTCACTGTTAATTTAAGTTCTGCCACAATTTCTATCTAGATTTACTACCTTTATACAACTATCAGTAGTAGAATAAATAATAAATAACATAAAATAAGCTCCGTAAAGACTGACAAATCCACAAAATTTCAAATCAAATTCAAATGTGTCAAATGAATCGTCAAACAGAACTGTCAAGGATCCCCACCCTAGAGTGCTTTTATGGTGCTTTTTCCGCCCACCGTGCATGAATACATGGATAGCATTATGCTCCTTCCTTAGTTTTCTTATTCAAAGTTCCATTCTAAATATCTTGAAAACGGTTGCTCGTAGCGAAATTTTTACGTAAAAAATCACGGAAATGTATATTTTTTAGCCAGTAATTTTATACAGGCACAGACGAACAGTTATTGCTCTTCAAGACAGTTAAAACACATGTATAAATAAAAAAAGTAATAAACACATATATAAAACACATAGGTGGCGCCCTCTACAAATAGGAGTCATATTGACATCAAAATAAAATTTCTCATGTCAAAAAACTCCCAGACACCAATTTTCATCTAGATATTGACGTTACTTCAGAAGTTATTTGGAAAAAATCGAAATAAAAATGAAACTTCAACGCCCTGCGTCTCCGAAACTAAACATTTTAGAACATACATTTATACGAACTTTTTTACCAACAGAATATGCTGCCGAAGTTTCCGGAATACAGATCGGACCACCCCGTATATTAAAATTACTTAGTTCCCTTTCATATACAAAAAAATAATTAAAATATCATAAATATTATTAGTACAAGCCTTCAACTTAGTTGTCCTTGATTTCGTGGTAAACCGATTTTTGTTTTAATATCCACAGAATACAACAACCTGAAAAAATATTCAAAGCATTCATTTTCATCCATATAGTTATCATTAGCGCAGAGCTAATAGCTAGACAGGCGGCTGTGGATTTGACAAGAAAGAAGTCTTGACAAAAAAATCTGAATATTTTTGTTTGTATTAAAAAACATTTTTTTCCTACATTGTTTATTATTTTACGGTGTACAATTTTAGCCGTGATTTTACTAAGTAAAAAACTGAGACTGTAGTGAAATGTGCTTTAATTGAGTTTTTAGTGATTTGTGATACTGATTGCTGCTTTATAAGGTAGGATTTATTTATTTTATAGTTTTAAAGGTGCTTTGGCTGTTTTACGCTTTTGGCTTTTGCCAAAACGTTTTGTTTTGGGTTCTAACTAATGATTTTTAAAACAAAATAACTATTGAATTTTTTATTTTTCTACTTAAGTAGCTATACAGTGTGTACATAAAGTATGGAATAAATTCATTATCTCAAACTGGAATTTTAGTAAAAAAAAATGCTCGAACACGTCGATCTATTTTTTAAAAGGGGCACATTTTTTCGCATATTATCTTGCTTCTAACTTCACCCCCCGAGCGGGGGTGAGTGGCACCCCTAGTTTTTGTAATGGGAAAGGGGGTCGAGTGATACCTTATTTTAAAGGTCTCTTTCTCCAGATTATAGCCCTAGAGCATTGTCTGGAAACTTATATTGTGAAATTTTGATAAAATAATTTAGTACTCACTAAAAACATGGTATGTCGCTAGTGGTAGGAAAAATAATTTTTATAGGTTACTAATTTATTTGGTTGCCTGTGATATGCATATATAGGGTGTTTCCTAATTAATCTAAAAAATAAAAAATCGTTAGAAAACGGCTTAAGGCGGGCTCTTAATAAGTATATTTATTTTTTTCTCGGCAACCGTTTGATGAACAAGAAAAGCTCAAAAGATTAATTTTGTTGAAAAAGGACGGCCAGTCAAGAAAAAAATATATTTTCTTTAAAAAAGCAGTAGTGTACCATTTAGTTTAAACAAAATATGGATTTTTTTTAATTTTAACACCCTGTAGATCAGAAAGGAAGTACTTTAGACCCAATGATTATATAAAAATTGTTTTAAGAACACATGAGGAATCACACCACAATTTTTTAGACTAATTAGAAAACACCGTGTATATTGTCAACTTGACAATGATTGTTGATAAATCAAAAAATACCTTTTCTGTGAAAAAAGCCCGATTTTCCCAGAGAAAATTTTGGTTTTTATTGAATTTCGGCCTGCGTCTGCAAATACCGGTATGTTTTTTAATATTCTATCTATCTAAATTTTAAATATCATAGTCAGAAATAGTTTTATTATTTATTAACTGTAAAAATGGTATACTTATAAGTTTTATCAAATATTGTGATTTACTTTCTACCTTGTAGTCAAAATTTATATTTAATAAACTGTAAAATATATATATTCTTATGTTTTATTAAAGTTACTCTGATATACTAATATATCAGTGTAACTTTAAAACTAAATCCTTTGAAATCAAATATAAACAAAAAATATTTACAGCAGAAAAGGCGAAGGCGCTGGGTTAAACGTAGTCTCTACTAAGAACACGGAGGGGCGCTTTGACCCAAAATTTTACTATTAAGTTTCATATCTATCTTAATAGAAGATTATTTTCTTTTATTTATGATTTTGATGTCAATATGACTCCTACTTGTAGAAGCCGCATTCACCTACATATTTTTAAACTGGTTTGAAGACTAATAACTTTTTGTTTCTACCTTTATAAAACTACTGAGTAAAAAAATATACATTTACAACGTTTTTTACGTAAAAACGGTCTCTTGGTAAAAATTGCTACGAGTAATGGTTCTTGAGATATTTGAAATCGAAATTATCAATAACTGTCGTCATTGACATAAATTAAACATGTTGACCAAATAGTTATTAGACTGAAATCATAAATTTGAAATGTTTTTGTTCAACGGAAACTGTTTTATCATCATTTTTTCGAAGAAAAGCTTATGATTAATTTAAAAAAAGAGAAAGTTCCCAAATTTTATCATTGCAGTCAAATAACTATCTACTCAAGGTGTTTATTTTTTGGCAATAATGACATGTATTGACTATTTTCATTCTAAATATCTTGACAACTGTTGCTCGTAGCGAATTTTTTACGTAAAAATTCACGAAAATGTATATTTTTTCACCCAGTAATTTTATACAGGTACGAACGAAAAGTTATTACTCTTCAAGACAGTTAAAACATATGTAGTTGGCGCCCCATACAAATAGGAGTCATATTGACATCAAAATCAGATTTATCAAATCAACAAACTCCCAGACACCAATTTTAATCCAGATATTGACGTTATTTCAGAAATTATTAGGAAAGAATCGAAATAAAATTAAAACTTCAACGCCCTGTATCTCCAAAACTATACATTTATACGAACTTTTTTACCAACAGAATATGCTGCCGAAGTTTCTGGAATACCGATCGGGCCACCCCGTATATTAAAATTACTTAGTTCCCTTTCATATACATAAATACAATAATTAAAATATCATAAATATTATTAGTACAAGCCTTCAACTTAGTTGTCCTTGATTTCGTGGTAAACCGATTTTTGTTTTAATATCCACAGAATACAACAACCTGAAAAAATATTCAAAGAATTCATTTTCATCCATATAGTTATCATTAGCGCAAAGCTAATAGCTAGACAGGCGGCTGTGGATTTGACAAGAAAGAAGTCCTGACAAAAAAATCTGAATATTTTTGTTTGTATTAAAAAACGCGTTTTTCCAACATTGTTCATTATTTTACGGTGTACAATTTTAGCCGTGATTTTACTAAGTAGGTTACTGAGACTGTAGTGAAATGTGCTTTAATTGAGTTTTTAGTGATTTGTGATACTGATTGTGCTGCTTTATAAGGTAGGATTTATTTATTTTATAGTTTTAAAGGTGCTTTGGCTGTTTTACGCTTTTGGATTTTGCCAAAACGTTTTGTTTTGGGTTCTAACTAATGATTTTTACAACAAAATAACTATTGAATTTTTTATTTTTCTACTTAAGTAGCTATACAGTGTGTACATAAAGTATGGAATAAATTCATTATCTCAAACTGGAATTTTAGTAAAAAAAATGCTCGAACACGTCGATCTATTTTTTAAAAGGGGCACATTTTTTCGCATATTATCTTGCTTCTAACTTCACCCCCCGAGCGGGGGTGAGTGGCACCCCTAGTTTTTGTGGAATGGGAAAGGGGGTCGAGTGATACCTTATTTTAAAGGTCTCTTTCTCCAGATTATAGCCCTAGAGTTTGAAGTTGCTAGTGTCATCTTTGTTAACATGACAGCTTGTCAAATTTCCTAATTTTATTAGTTTTGTCAAGCTATCAGATTAACGGAAATCACGGTAGCAACTTCAAACTCTGTTTATAATATAAGTAGGCATATTACCATATTACCTTGCCTCTAGCTTCACCCACCGAGTAGGGGGGAGTGGCACCCCTAGTTTTTGTAATGGGAAGGGGGGTCGAGTTATACCTTATTTTAAAGGTCTCTCGCTAGAAATGATAACCCTAGAGTTTGAAGTTGCTATCATAATTTCTGTTAATATGGCAGCTTGACAAAACTAAGAAAATTAGGAATTTCAAGTCATGTTAACAAAGATGACACTAGCAACTTCAAAATCTAGGACTATAATCTGGAGTGAGAGACCTTTAAAATAAGGTATCACTCGACCCCCTTTCCCATTACTAAAACTAGGGGTGCCACTCACGTAATAAGGTAATATGCCTAAAATGTGCCCCTTTTATAAAATAGATCGACGTGTTTTTTTTAATAAAATCCCAGTTCAAGAAAATGAATTTATTCCATACTTTATGTACACACTGTATAAATACACATACACAGCCGTTACCCAGCATTTAATTATTTTGAAAAGTTCAAATTTCATACAGTTTTTCGTAAACCAAATATACTTACCACAACAGGGTTTTCCAAAATCCAGTCGCACCAACTGTACCATGTATGGTTCGAGCAAGTTGACGTACCACCAAGGTGCTTTTTCGGGCTTCGTCAAGGTACAAGTTTCGCTGTTAAAAAAGGCACTAGTACTGGCATCTATGGCTTTTTGTGGTATCCCCGTTCCCTGGATGGATACTTGCATTGGTGCTTTGCCAGCGGCAACATTCAGAACTGAAAATAAAGAAAATTGTTAAAAAAGAATAAAAATAAATAAAGAATATTAATTAAACTTTAAAACAGATATTTTTGGAATAGTAATGTATTTTAAGTAAAAGTCTTCTTCTTGCTCTCAGGAGTATCTTAGGACAATAGATAGGAAACTTTGTACATAGGGTGAACAAAGATTTATAAATAAATTTTATGGTATATAAATTTTTTACGAAAAAATAATAAAAAACAATAAGAATTAGTGTCCATTCCATAAAAATTAAAAAAGACCCTGTATACACAATAGTTCAATATGTAAAATTTCAAAACATATACAAAAATTAAACAACAATAAAACAATTACGTTTCTAACAGGACTCTTCGGCTCACAAAACTCGTTAGAAATTATCCCTCTTTAAAAAAAAACTCTTTATACCTTACTTGATTTATGATAGGCATATTTTCAATTAAAGTTTTACCGCTGCGCTTAGATCATAAAATCACTCATATAACGAACTTTTGCGTTATCCCGTAGACTAGGGGTAATAAAATAACGGTAATTTTACCATGCCTAGTTGAAGAAGAAATTAATATACTTAGATATGTTGAAAATATATAATCAACCAAGGAAATATTCAAGGAAAATCTTGAAATGTTGAATTTTACAAACTTGTTCTATCAGTTAACTTTAAACTAGTAATCTATACTATATAATATATAAAATCCTTAAGTGACTGACATACTGATTAATCACGATCCTGCTCAAACCACTCAACGGAAGAAGCTCAATTTTGGCATACAGGTTGATTCTAGGGTGTAGAGGTTCGATAAGAAGGGATTTTTCGAAATTCCAGTTCCAAGAGGGTGAAACCACCCCTCAAATATTACATTATTTTTTATTTAAAAAACGGTCAAGTTTCCGAAAAAACGCTTAAATACGTATCTTTTATTTTGTTTTTTTACATATTTTAAAATTTTTTAAAAATGTATAGAGGGTGTTTCGAAAAATCTGGTCATTGATTAATCACGATCCTGCTTAAAGCGCAAAACATAAAAAGCTGATTTTTGGAAAACAGATTGACTTTAGGGTGTAGAGGTTCGATAAGAAGGGATTTTTCGAAACTAGAATTCTAAGGGGGTGAAACTATCCCTCAAATATTAAAATATTTTTTAAAAAATAAAAATGTTATGGGTGGGCCACTTTTAAGACGCACCCAGTATAGAATTCATCTTTTAAATACGTGTATATATCGCTATACCCTATCTATTTTAAATTTTACTTAATCGTATATTCAAGAGTCCTTTCAAGTTAAGAGTTTCTTTTCCCATAAAACTCTAATTGACTCTGAATATATCTATTACTGACTGAATGTTACATCTACACATAGCTGTTATGTATCAATTTTCTTTTTAAGTACCAAGACAAAATACTATTAAACTAATCATCTGTTCATTATTTATCAATTCACAAAATGTTTCAAAATAATTAGCTATAATTTTAAGTAACTAACTAACTAAAAAAACTAACACTTATTATGTTGTTACCACATGAGACATTACCATATCAGAACAATACCAACATAATTGAATTGTTTTGAACCCGCATTTTCTTATTCACTTCATTCATTGGAATATAAAATGATGTAAAATTATCGCATGATAATAAGCTATATACGTATGTGTTTATGCTCCATACTAAAGCTGCTTTCTAAAGTTTTTCTGCGAAAGTAGGAAATATAGAGAAAGTAAGCATTCAAATATGTTAGCTAAACAGAAAAAAATGACATTCAACTTGCTACTGAGAAGAAATATTAAGACGTTTGAGATGTAATAGACGTATAGCTTAGTTCGTCTTAGCTCAACAGATGGCTCAACCAGTGCAGTGGCGGATCAGAGATACAAGCTCGCAGAAAACTTAAATATTTTTTTATTTAAATCATTTTAATGACTTCAGTCATTTGATTTTAAGTCATTTTATTCGAGAGCTGACGTAAGACTTTTTCAAAATGATTTTTAGGAAAGACTTAAGTCATTAAAAAGATTTAAGTATTTTTATAAAAGCTTAAGTCAGATTTTCATATACACACACCGGAAAAGTCTAGGAATATTACAATTTTATCCAGCCATCGTCAGTAATTTTATTATTTGCATTTCTGATATAATAAAATTAAAATAAACAAATAGTTTACAGGACGTGTAGGAAATAAAAATGCGAAATTTACCGAATTTTTCAAATTTACCTTGATTTTTATTGAACTCAAAAAAATACACACATTTTTTTTTATTCTAAACTGTGAATTAAAAAAAAAAGATAAAACCATTTTTACTTAATAAAGGGTATAGCCTCCTCTACTGTTCATTACAGCCCTACATCGTCTCTCCATGCTCCTGATCAGGTTGTCGATCTCTTCTTGAGGTACAGCCTGCCACGCTGCATTCACGGCCGGAACCAGATCCCTACGAGTTTCACGAGGCATACTCATTCTCAAAGTTCTTCTTTGGACCGCGTCCCATACGTGCTCGATGGGGTTGAGGTCAGGAGATTGTGCCGGCCAGGGTAAGATGTTTAATTGATGAGCATTGATAAACTCACTTACCACTCTGGCTGTATGATGCCGTGCATTGTCATGCATGAGAATGAAGTTTCTCCCAAAATCATTGGCATATGGTAACACGACAGGCTCAAGAATTAAATCACGATATGTGATTCCTGTTAGAAACCTTTCAAGAAAAACGAGATCGGTTTTTCGGCCTAACTGGACTCCTCCCCAGACCATAACTGTTCCACCTTGATAAGGGTGCACTTCCTGAACATAATCCAACCGAATAAGATTTCCCGGTTCTCTCCATACCCTAAGCCTTCTCGAATCCGGATGAATTCCAAAGCGTGACTCATCCGTGAAGAGAACATTGGCCCATTGTTCATTCGACCACTGAACATGATCTTGAGCCCACAAATATCGTACCTCTCGATTTCCTCTCGTTAAGGGTTGAGATCTCCAGGGGCGTCTGCTTCTTAAGTTGACCTCTCTTAATCTATTGCGGACAATGTCAGGACTAACGCTTACATTATGTGTTTCCTGGAGAATTAAACTAAGCTCTGGTGCTGTAAGAGTCGGTCGGCGTCGAGCATTTAATTGTAAAAAATGATCTTGCTGAGGGGTAGTAATGCGATGTCGCCCTGTGTGCCTTTCAGCAACATCACCACTTTCACAGTAGCATGCCCTTAATCGCGATATTACACTTTGCGTTGTATTTAATGCTCTAGCTACGTCGATTTGGCGCATTCCAGCTTCGAGCATACCCATGGTCCTTAGCATTTCGTCTCTGTTAAGATGTCTACGCTCCATAATGTCGTTTAATACTAAACAGAGTTATTTGAATGAATTCTGACCAGTTATCATAAAAACATAGCCAGCACAGGTTAAATTCGAACAATTGATGCTAGGTGCTTTTTATACATTTGACAAAAAATGCACAAACACTTCTGCAAATATCCCAAATTTAGAAATAACTATTGTGACTACTTCATTTCAATCGAAGTAGAAAGAATCGGCCTACAAATATGTGGTTGTTTATTCAAAACATTTATTTTTAACTTTAATAAAATGATATCCCTAGATTTTTCCGGTGCGTGTATTTTTTATGATAAATTTTTAACAGCACCATTCTTTTTTAAACCGTTAGGCGGCAGCCAAGGTGCAGAATAAAAAAATAATGCTCAATACCACTAGCAAATAAAACGTTAGTTTTTCAGGACCCTGTTTTGATTATTTGCCGTGTTACGAGTGCGTAGGGAGTCTGTTGTCTTTTAAGTGAATCCCCGACTCCGTTATGTAGCCCAAAAGACGAACGAAAGAAATTTAACTTGACTTAACTTTTTATTCTTTATTATTATTGGGTTTTTTTAATAGATTAAGATTTTTTTCCATAGCAACTGTTAAAATTGCCTCTTATCTATCAAAAATAGTAGATAAAATGATACTTTAACAGCGAGGATAGGTTAAAAACTTTATTTCTTCTCGCACGTTTTTTAATTGCTTCCATTTTTGAAAATTTTTGTATTCCTTTCCATAAGTTATTCGGGATTTAAATGGAAGTAGTTTGGATATGGCGTTTGTCGCCTCAGCCTGAGTATCTGTTGGTAATTTACTTATTTCGTTTTGAGCCATTTCTGGCTCCAATTCAACCAGCAATCGACACGAAAGAGAATTAAAAAATATTGACTCAAAACTGACCACTAAAGAGACAGCTTTATTTATTTTTCAAATTACATAGAAACCAACGCCAACCCAGCACAATATTTTTTCTACTCGTAATAAATTCCTTGAAATAATAATTTCTGAATATTTTTTAAAACGTAACTCGCTATGGAAAAAATATTGTTTTATACACGACGATAAAATACCATTTTATCGTTTTGTATAAAAAATAACTAAAGGTTATACACCCCCCAAAATATTGTACTACGCGCCGCCACTGGGTTCTACATAGAATTCGCTAGATTTATCAGGAAATAAGAAGCGTAACGATTATAAAAATTTCTTTATCAGAGCAATTAACCGTTCATAGGCCGGATATTAATAATTAAAAATGGGTTTTAACTACTTTCTATTACATGATGCGCTAGACTTACGTAAAACAATAATTTTTGAAATATATGTAATTAGAAGAAATTACACTCACAGGAAAGGAATAGGTATAGATAGATCTGTTTTAATTACTGTAATTCTTTATAGTTCTATACGATTCCTGTAATATTATTTTCATTCTCTTCATCACAAACATCTTTTTTGCTTTTTTTGCCTGAAAAATCAGTTTTTGAAGATGCCTGTTAAACTTACAATGCCTTGTTAGTAGACCCACTACAACTTTGACAGTCTTCCTGCCATTACTTATCAAATTTGGTGTAAATTTTGGCGAGAATTCTAATATGAAATTTATCGCTTGACTCTGCCCTTGTTCGTTGGAGATACTGTCACTTTCGTGGTATAAAAAACCAAAATAAAATTATGTGTTTTACT